TGTTTTGCCATTTGCCACAGCACAATTGGCATCTTACCTCATTATCAAAGCAGATGTCATCAACCAGAGTTACATGATGCCAAGAGCTAAAGCTAACACCATGCGAAGTTCAGTCAAATTGGAAAACTCAAAAGTTTATGGCAAGGATACAGACGGTAGATTGAGGTTGACCAAAGCCGCATCATTCTTCCCAGAGCACGCTACAAATAATCCAAAATATAAGCTTAAGACTATCAAAGACTTGAAAGCAACTGCGCTCGAAGAAATCAATACTGCGAAAGACTATATGCGCCGACAGATCGAGTTCCTCGACTATCTTGCGACAGAGAAAACGATCACCAATGAAACTCAACTGGTTCTTAGATATAGGAACTGGGAAAATCAAGTTTTGGAAGGAAAACGTTACTCCGATCCTGACGCTTTTCTTGACATACTCCAAGTTATCAAAGGCGTTCGAAGGGCAAATGCCAATAAGACCAGAGATGACTTTTACTATGAAAATCCTGATCCTGCTTATGGTCGCCGTATCTGGCCTTCTCAAATCGAGAAAATTTTGCACAACGGTCGAAGGATGCTTGCCATTATTGCCCATTTTAAGACAGGACTCATCGAAGTGCACAAGACTGCTATGGACCTTATGCAATTCAGAGCGGATTATCGCTATTATAGGTCTGTGGGGCAGATTGATCGAGCTGGCAGTAAAACACCTACAGGGGATCTCACTTGTAACTTTTGCAACAAGAGCTCACCTTTTAACGAAGCTGTTGTCCAAGGCAATTGTGGCCATATATTATGCTCGAAATGCAACAAAATCTTACCGGAAGGGAATTGTCCAGTCGAACACTGTGGCGGGCAATCACTAGATGACCAAAAGTACTTGGCGTCATCCTTGTATTCTTCAGCTGGAAAATTTCTCGAGCGCAAAGAACCAGGGACTGAACAAGACGAGCTTTCTAGATTCTGGAACAACCCAATTGTTCGAGTCGACAAGCTTACAGCTATGCGTTCGATCTTCTGGAAGCACGATGACGGCGAGAATAAATTCATTGTATTCAGTCATCTACCAGAGTTTTTAGCCATGGCTCAGAAAATGATGGAAGCTGATGGTATTCCTTGTATCAGCCTAAAGGGAAAGAAGAAGGACGTCGCTGATTATCTTGAAAACTTCAAGCAAAATAAAGGCATGCGATGCAGGGATGACAAAAAACAGGTCAAGCCCAAAACACCTGCACAAATCAAAGCAGCAGAAACTAGAGCTGCAAATGCAAAAGCTGCGAAGGCTGCAAAGCTTGCAGAAGCGGCTAATGCACCAATTGATATTGACGCTATTCCCGTTGATGCTAATGCTATTCAAGTTGATGCGGCACCACTTAATGTTGATGCTATTCCTGGTAATGCGGCACCAGCTTTTATTGAGCTAAGCATTCGGGTTAATCCAATTTCTCAAATCCCCAAAAAGAGAAAGAGAAAAGCTGTAGCTACAAATGGTAAAGCTATAGAAGTCGGAGCAGAATCTGTTGGTATTGAACCAGTTGATAGTGACGCTGGTCCAGTCAAATCTACGTCAGCTTCTGTTGAGACGAACATTCAGGTCAATCCCGCCTCTCAAGGTTCCCAAAAAAGAAAAAGGAATGGTTCTGTCGACGACACTCTAACAGGCCCAGTCTCCAAAGTTCGCCGTGTTACCTCGCTAGATTCAATCAATCAAACTCCAGTTGCTTCGGGTTCCGCACCTGTTTCAAATTTTCAAGGTGCTTCGGTCGTTCAAGGAGATATGATGAGCGGTACAAATCCCGATCTTGATTCATTCCATACGGAGTGGAGAGCTGAGCTTAATACTACTTCTGAGCCCGGTCCTTCTGCTCCAATTGCGACACGAACCCCTTGCTCGACCTGTCCTGTGTCAAATATCCCAGCACAGTCTCGATTAACCGCTGAAGATTACATGATGACGACTGGATTAGCATATGACGTTGATCATGCTGGCACTATTATTTACACGGATCAGGATAACCCTATTCGAGCTCATGAACTCATTGATGATGACGATGTAGTTTACGATGCTCCTCCACCCTCATTCCCTGTCTCGAATCGCAGACGATCGGCGAAACAGAGGAGAAAGGCCATAAAGGCATGGATGGCCAACAACGAGAAGGTCGTTAACTATCCACCACTTGATTTTTCTGAGCTCGAAGACATCAAGGAAGCCGCTGCTCCGGAAGTCCGTATATGTAATTCTCTGTCAGACGATTTACCTGTGGATTGGGCTCGCGTTGGTAAGGAGGCGTTTGATCCTGAAGACTTTGCTGAGAATCCTGATCCTACCGCTCGTGTCTTGTTCCTCGACATTGCCGACGAGTCTGCTGCCGGATCCAATTTAACTGTCGCTAAGCATATCATCTTCTTGAATCCTTACTATGCCGAAAAGCAAAAGTACAATTCTTCAATGACTCAGGCAATGGGCCGTGCAATTCGTCATGGTCAAGAACGAGGTGGCACTGTGACCGTTCACCATCTACTTGTTCAGGACTCCGTCGAGACTGATATTGCTTTCGAACTTATGGATGATCAATTTCCAGGAAGGGTCAATGCAACAGAATTACTTGCTAAGCACAAATCCAACATTGAGCCTGCCTTTTTCCATAAATAAGCTAGGCTGGTTGGCCTGTGTTATTTCTCTATGGTATCTCTTCGTCGACCATATTCAGATTACAATTGTACTATACAATACCAACTGGTGCAGGCTTAAAATGTGTGTACGAACGCCGTCTACTCAATCTGTATACCTCGGACTTCGAGTCTTGCTCGCTCGCTTCCTTTGGTCAAGCCGGATGAAGGATACATGAATCTTGGGTTGAGTAGATCATTCAAAATGATCTGAGAGAATTTTTCTTGTCGGGTGGCTCCAGGATTTTCATTTCTTTTGTTACTTGCAATGGATTGGCGGATTATTTCACGAATGAAGGTGTTGGGGGCGGTGGTAATTACTTGTTCAAAAATAGGAGTTTGGTTCTTACTTGTGGTGGATGGTATGAAGTCTATGATTTTCTCTTCTAGTTCTCAAATTAGAATTAGTTAGTTTTGTCGTTAACTATCTAGTGTTAAGGTGTCTCGTTTCTTGACGATGGGAAAGGGTCTAGTTATTTCGTTTGTTTGTAGACATCAGGGAGGCTTCTGCCAGTCGCATAAAATGCTTCTAGCAGAAGTTTAAATAAGAATCATGGAGTTTTCATACCAAACAGAATCGACTACTTTCAAAAATGTGAATCTTACGTTTGGAGTGATGTGATGTGAGATGATTTCGAGTGTGATTTAACTCATGATGTTGACTTGAGCTACTAACTAGACTAATCAGTGCTCGTAATGGGTGGGTTGAATAAACTATGGGCTGGATTGGGTTGGGTAGTATAAAAGAGTAATCTATGATTGATTAGTTTGGGTTGGATTTTGGTTCAGTTATTTCTTGAGTGAAATGGGATGGTGTATTATTGGACGGTTTTCGTAAATTTCCATCTCAGCCCCAATTTCAAGCCTCAAATTAAGCTCTTTTGGGATTATCAAGCCTCACCTGGGCACCTGGACATTTTGAGTCCTACCTAATTCCTTGCATGGTTAGGTAACCACAGGTACCCGCTGATGCTAGCGGGTAATATCTAGCCAATCGATGGGCCGGCTTATAAGTGACCCAATAGCCTTTTTTAGACTAGCGGGTTGAGTTATAGATTGAAAAAGAAAGTACGAAACCCACCCATTGCGAGCACTAGTTCAACGACATTCTTCGGGGAACTTTGAAGAACGAAGCAATTCGGTATATTCTAGACCATGTATTCAAAAGGGAATAGAATAAATACAAAGGGCAGTTAAGCCCTCTGCATAGGTAATCACGCTCGAATAGCCTATAAAATGTACACGGACAAATGTATGCGTAGTGCTTGCCATGTCATGTGATCATGTGTATTATCATTATTTCGAGATAACTTCAAGCTCAGGACGTGGGCCGCATACCTAGTTAAAGCCTGCATTTCTATAGAGTGTCTCCCTTGTATGATTGTATAGAATATCAGAATATCCTAAAGATCTCGAAACACTTGGGTGTCGATGCCTGATTTACATTTGCCTTAAACTATGGAGTTACCTATTTCTACCTTCGTAAAGTTGGTTCTTGGATACGAACACTCATTCGAGAGGTGAGTGTGAACGAGGCATGTTTTCTTCCACCCCTTATTTTCCAGCTCTTTCTTTGATCTGCACCCGCAACATTCTTCTCCGTGTTTGAAAGCCTGTGTGGAAACTCTCTGTTATAGATCTTGATACTTCTGAGAGGTTCTATTCACAAGACAATACGTAGGAGATTAAGCATGGAAATTATTGAAAACAGACAAGCAGATAAATTACGATACATAGAGCTTGCGAATACGTTCCTACGAAAGTAAGTAAACTACACGGTTCATCGAAAACAAACACTCCGGACGGTACAACAATCAAATACGATACTATCAATCTTCTCCCCACTCACAACTAGCCATTTCAAAGTGCTCTTTTTTCCCGTACGGGGATGGAAGGCATGGAGATAGGAGGCGACTGGGAGGGAAATGAGAGTGAGATGCGGAGTGAGGATCTGTGGGGCAAGGATGAGAGTTTTCGTCTGACTCTTGATAGATAATCAATGTTGAATGGTTGATTATGACTCTGACTACTTTCCCCTCTTCAAATTTTCTCTCTCTTCCACGCTTAGCTTATTGAATTCTGCCAAGATTGTCTCATTTTCAGCAAGCTTTTCTTCTGCTACCTTGGCTCTATCCTCTGCCGTCTTTATCCTATCCTCGATCGCCTTCTTTTCCGCTTCCGTTTTCTCTATGGCTAGTCTGTTGCGTTTCGCAAGTTATTCAACGCTACCTAACCTGTCTTCTGCCATATAATGGGGATAACTTGGAAGTTCCCAAAAAAATCGTCTGTTGTTAAGTTTGACCAATTCATTTCTAATTTCAGGGCTTACGTCTTCAAAAGAGTTGTAGAAATTTATCCCCAAAGGTTTTCGCCGCTTCCGAGGGCACTACGTTTCTCTTTGCTAATGCCCGTTTTAGCGCTCTCCCCCATGCGCCATTTTCGAATTCTTCCAGCTGATACAATTCCCACCATTCTGGAAGATAACCCCCACGTTCCCAGTCGATGATCCCACTCACATGCTTGTCTTTCACCATAATATTCTGCGCGTTTAAGTCCCCGTGGGTGAGCACAAAGGGTCCTCCAGGCTTGATACAGAGTGAATATTGTTCTCTTAGAAGGTTTTTACGGGATTTATCCCGAATGCTCGATTCCACTCGAGCCCACCATTCGTCCACATCAGACGTCCAAAAATTTAAGGTAGATTCAGGACTGAAATGTTTGTCTCTCATTAGCGAACCATCCGGAGCCTGTAGTTTATCTGATGTGAATTTACGTAATTGTACAAGATAGTCTGCGACTTCTTCGGCAAGGACTTCTACGTCTTCCCATACGAGTTTTCCCCCAATCTTCTGCAACGATTCACCTGGAACCCTATCCATAAGAAAGATATTGCTTGTACTATCCGACCAATGCTTCATATTCGTTGCCACAGGAGTCGTCGAGTTTTCTTCCAAGAAACGAGTCATTGGATAATCACGGGCTAGGTAGCTTGTACCCCATACCGCATTATTGATAGCTATTTCTCTCAAAATGTATTTGTCGCCAATTACCCATATACCGCTAAGGGGGTTGTGGGCAATCAATTTAAGAGTGCAGATATAACTGCCGTGACTCGCATTATCAGCGGTGAATCCGCAATTCTGGCATAGCAAGAGATCTGGAGATTTTGGACGTTTCGCATGGTGCTCCTTCGCCTCTTCGTCTGTAGTTCCTCGAAAGGGTGTATACTTTCCTGGAATTTTCCTGTATGTATTGAGGGACTTTAAGTGATTCGACGCACGAGCCTCGATGTGAAGCTTTGATAGTGATATGTCTGATTACAGCAGTACTGATAGATGATGATACTTAGATATAGAGTATGGGGGAAAAGTAATCAGACGAACAAAGTTCTAAATGTGTACTTTCATATAAAGGTAGAAACTTTACTACTAGTGTACACGATAAATTCTCCACCCAATGACAGATGATTTTTGTATAACCCTTGTTATTCTCGAATAGTTTTTCTACTAAAAGAAAGAAAAGGGATGAAAAAGAACTTATTGCATTGAGTAGCAGGAACAAAGGGCATGGTAAAGATCTCGATTGAAATGAAAAACTACCGAAGGTGAATACAGTTTTGATTTTGTTTTATGTAAAAAATAATAAAGGAGGCCTCGGGATATACCATAGAAGGAAGAATCTCGATTTCAATGCGTCCCAATGCGTATGAACATATGGGTAGGCACACTTGTGGGTTCGAGTTAGGTCGAAAATCTTCAATCTGAAAGAAGAACTCTTAGTATCCTATCGATAGTAGTAAGATGGGTCTATAGCCCAGAGTATCTGCCAAAGAATAGGTCAATTGTATCCTCCGCTTTGTTGATGATGATTTCGATTACGATCCATTAAGAAAACTGTGTAAGGAACCTGGGTATGATTTGATCAAGGTTTGAAGCTTGGGTTATGTTATGTGCATTTTTCTTCAGAGTAGCTCAAACACCACAAAACTCTCTGTAGCTTCACTATTGTATTTTGTGAGACATAGGTTTATACACATACACTGACCTTACTTGAGACTTCTTCAGGTAGGCAGTATTGATACCAAGCTGATGCGATATCATAGCAGTGCGTGATATCTTTGACGAACAGAAGCTATAGCTTTGGAAGTAGAAGATTCCGTATAAAAGTATCTAGAAAGTAGCTTTACTTTGTACACCCACGTATTTCTTATGCTAAAAAGGGAAACGGAAAGGGTTTATTACAGCACTAGCTTTCAAGACTTGGAAGAGGAAGTAGCAAATAAATGAAGGACCCGAATGCTCTTAGATGATACCTTCGAGGAAGTCATGATATAACGATGCCGTGAAAAAAAGGGGTTAGTTGGTAGCGTTGCCTTCCTTATGTAAGATCCTACCTTCAGGAATTAGCAGTGAAGCTTCATTGATCCATCTCGAGTACCACCAATCTCTAGATACTCCAATTCGTCTACAAATCATATATATGATGATGTATTGATGAAATTGATGTTATGGATAGTAGAACGGACATGGAAAATGCAAGATTCCGGCTTAGAAATATCCGTTCCTCTCGAGAGCCCCTGACCGATAGCGGGTCTCGGCTGCCGGGCATGGTATACAATCTTACCAATCACTTTGATATACTTTCCATTCCTCATTTTCCATGAATATTCGAGATTTTTCTTACATCAATGGGATTGTATGATCTTTCATCGACGCAAGTATCAAAACGTGAATAACTTCAAGACAAAGAAATTGCGATTTATCGTTGTTGTTGAAAGTAGAATTACCTACCAAACGAAATCAAGGTGGTGGCGAGCTGACTCATCAACAAACCCATCCGCCGGATCTCCGCTTGAAGGTAACATAAACAGATAAGGAAACGACGAGATGGGAGGAAATGGAATTATGGGAAAACGCCACGGGGATGGGATAAGTGATGAGAGAACTTCGTTGCTTGGGCACAGTGAGAGAAGAGATCGGGCTGATGGAGATGGAGATACATTGACAGGCGGGCAAAGTGGGAGAGACGATGCTATCAGCAATGATGAAGAAGATAATGAGGATAAAGCAAATCAACAGGTTGGGAAGTTGAGAGCTATATTGATCAGTATCAGTGTATTTGGATTGGTATTTCTTCAAGGTGAATTCCCTCATATAGCATCAGGAGTCTTTGATGGGAGATAAATGATCTCCCTCTCTCTCTCTCTCTCTCTCTCTCGGACTTACCTTAATATACTAACACAACTATACCCACAGCCTCAAACATGTCCGGAATATCAACCACACAGTCCAAAATAGCAGAAGATCTCAATTCATTTGCCGAAGCAAGTTGGTTTACATCCACCTACCTCGTAAGTCACCCTTCCCATCATCAGACGATCACACCCTTACATCTAGCCTTCAGATCGCCCTGTCATCCATGTCCCCCGTAGCCGCTCGTCTAGCCCAGATTTTCTCCCCGAGAAATTGTATCTTAACCGCCGCACTCCTCTTTTCAATCGGGGGCATCGTCACCTCACAAGCTTCAGATCTCAAGACCTTCCTCGTCGGAAGAGCCATAAGTGGAATTGGTGGTGCGGGTATCATGACAATTAGTTTCATCTTGATCTTAGAACTCACCACCAAAAAACGAAGGGGTATTTTCATCGGACTTGCAAATTCCGGATTCACCGTGGGTGTATCTCTCGGTGCAGTTGTCTGGGGAGCTTTATTGCCCGTTGTAGGCTGGAGAGCTCTATTCTTATTTCAATCACCTCTTGCTATCCTTTCGGGAATAGGCATTTATTTCAGTATCCCTAAGAGTTTTACATCTGGACAGAAAAGTATTGATGGTGCATCGATTACTTCCAAACTTGCCAAGATTGATTACCTCGGATCGCTTCTTCTCGTAAGTACCAAGTCCTCCTCACCATATTCTACCTATGAGCATGGAACTAGAACTCCTACTAAACCCACCAGGTAACAACCATAATACTCTTCCTCTACGGCCTCTCTTCCCCCCAAATCGAATGGCTACCCATTCTCTGCTCTCTCCTCACCCTCATCCTCTTCCTCTACATCGAGCTCAAAATCGCCACCGACCCCATCATACCCATTGCCGTCTTGAAATCGCGCGGCGCTCTCCTCTCCTGCATTTCTCAACTGGGAACCATGGCTGCGCGATGGACCATCCTATTCTACACCCCCGTCTACGCCATTTCTATCCGCGGTTGGTCGCCCGCTTCTGCAGGTTCTATTCTCATCCCTACCAACCTGGGGTTTGCCCTGGGCGGCATCGCAGCTGGTGCATTCCATATCAAACGAGCAGGGAGTTTCTGGCTGTAAGTTCTCTTCATCCCTACATCCAAACCAAGAAATCCAAAAATCCTAACCCCCCACTCCAGACCCTCTCTCCTCACCCTCCTCCTCTTCTCCACCACCCTCCTCTTCTTCTCCTTCCTCTCCACTCCTCATACCCCAACCCCTCTCTACCTCCTCCTCGCCCTCCTCAACGGCCTCACCATCGGCTCCGCCCTCAACTACACTCTCGCGCATCTCCTGCATCTCACTCCCCCCTCTACCCATTTCATCTCCACCTCGCTCCTAACCACTTTCCGTGGTTTCGCCGGCTCTTTCGGCTCCGCTATTGGTGGTGGCGCATTTATCCGCGTCTTACAATCTCAATTACGCGAAGGGTTTTCACGGAATGGGGGCTTAGAAGGTAGAGAAGATTTGGTGAGGAAATTACTTGGCAGTCCGGCGCTCGTGGGAAAATTAAATGGGGTGGAGAGGGAAGTCGTGGTCAGGGCTTATGAGGAGGGCTTTCGCGTTTTGTGGTTGGGGGCTGCCGTGTGTGCGTTTTTGATGGTGGGCGTGCAGGCTATGACCGGTTGGGAGGCTCCTGAAGGGGATACTAAAGGGGAGGATAGATTGGAGGTTGGGAATGGATTGGGAGTTGAGAATGAATTGTGGGAAGAGGGAATGGAGGAGGGTGTTTAGTGGTTCATTGGTTGGTAGAATGGGAGTTGTTAGGTTGGATTGGGAGTTGTTGCGCTAGAATGGAGTTTGTATATAGATAGACGGTTAGATAGATAGATAGATAGGTATGTACCTAGTAGTTTAGATGGAGGCCTATGTAGATATGGCAGATAGAACTGCATATAATATAGATGTAAGTATATAGGTTGTATTAAATTAAACAGAGTATATAAATAGAACGATAATAACCTTATATAGTAACATTCTATATATTAATATCTCAAATGTTAAGATTTATAACTAATATATTTCGATTAGTATTCTTGACATTCAAGTCTTTTATTTTTCCAAAATATTGATATCCTAGTCTTTAGTCTTTATCTTTGATTGGAACAGAAATATTAGTCTGTCTTAAAAAATCTAAACACTCCAAAACATTCCAAACATTCAAAACATAAATTCTTCACTACTACTCGTATTATGAGAAAACCTATACCACCTCATCTTTCTACACACACAAATCCCTAGGCTAGTCCTGTTCCAACTATAATCCCAATCCTATTCTATTCCAATTCCCAATTTCCAGTTCTATACCCCAACTTGTTCATCATTTCGTATCCAGTTCATTAAATGCAAGAAATGCCCGCAATGCCATCTCCTCCAAGACAATCCCTATCATTCAATCGTCTAACCCATCAAACCAGATCATCCTCTCTTCCTCCCGCTACTTTTCCCTTTTCTATTCTCTTTCCTTTATCATCACCCAATTGCATTTCTACCTCTCCCCCCACAGATCCTTTTCCATCAATCGTATCCCGCCATCCCTTCCCCCACCTAACAGCCGTCCAAGTCGCCGCACTACTAACCACCAAAAAGCCCGCACTAATCGTCGAAAACCAACCTACCCCAATTTTCTCCACTGTAGGTAGTACCGTCGCACTTCCCGTCGCCGCAAACAAATACCTAATCATATAATTTCCCGCAATAACCTCCGCACCACTCCTCTGCATCACATCCAAACAATACGTATTGAGACTTGGAAAACAGAAAAGTTGCGCGACTCCTTGCAAGAACATCATGATAACGGGAAGCGGAATACCGCCAAAATCTTTGTCCACAGACCAGCCATAGAGCAGCATGCAAGCCGGGATGACGATACCCATAAAGGGGAGAGCGGAGCGAAGTCGATCTTCTGGGACGCGGGACCCGCGAATACGAATGTATTTATTGGTTATGTAATCAGAATAGCGGCCGCCAAAGAAGGTTCCGAAAATGTAGCCGAAGCCTGGAGCGAGATAGAAAAGACCAGACTGGATAGGGGTAGTGAGATGGAAGCGGGGATTAAGAACATATCGAATCTGTAAAGTTCGAAGGTTAGTTTTGTCCTTAACTCGGCTCTGATTACCCAGAAGAAGAAGAAGGGTAAAGTAAAATCATATCCTATCATATAAGTATGAGGAATAGGAGAACTTACAGGAGTCAAAAGCGAATACATATTCCACACCAAACTACTACTCGCCAAAGCCACCATAATCAAATTCGGATACTTATAAAGTTTGATGACTCTCCAAGGATTCAACATTCCCCATAGTACCCCTGCTTTCTTCTTCCAACTCATGCCAACCAATTCATCTTTCTTCATTCGATGAATAGTTTCGGGTAACAAGAAATAAGCTCCAATCACCGCGCATGCAGCCAATGCAGTTTGCAGCCAGAAAATCACACGCCAAGATTGGAACGTGACGATTATACCACCAATAAAGGGCCCGAGTGCGGGTCCGATAAGTGTACCAGAAAGAAACCAACCCATTGCAGTTCCACGTTCCGTTGGACGATAAATATCCCCGATACAAGCTGCCCCAATAGTGAGAAATGAAGTTCCTTGAAAGGCCGTCAGGATACGAAAGATAAAGAATGCAGGAAGGTTAGGAGCGAGCGCCGTGCCAATGGAGCAGGCTGCAAAGAGGGAGGATGTTGTGAGGGAAATCTAAGATTATTTAGTAATCTCAACCACATATTCAAGTAATCAAACTAGAACGTACCAATCTCCTCCCGTAAACTTGGCTCAATGGTCCCCACACCAATGGACTCAATCCCATGAACAACATATACAATGCATTGCTCAAATTGATGATGGTACCAGTACTATTATACGTATTCGCCACTTCTGGCACCGCCGCCAATACCGTGGTACTACTAATTGGAGCCAAGAAACTGCAAAAGGAAAGCAGAGCCACGATAACGAGTTTGCGATTGGGGGGAATACGGTCGTAGATGGCATCGGGGATGGAGACATTTGAATACGTCTGTTGAATTGGCGCATCTTGAGTATTGGAGATGTGCGAGGCGATTGGAGCTAGATTCGAGGGTGGTTGGTGCGAGGGAATGGAGCTACTTGTACTGTGAATGGAATAAGTATCGGAAGCTTCATGTGAAAAGTTCGTTTCGTCTTTTTGGTGAGGAGATGGTTGTCCATGTTGGCTCGTTGATTGATCATGGTGGTTCAGACTTGAAGCCATGATGTGAATTGGATATTAAAAAGAGATGTATGGGTGGAATATTAAAAAGAGATGTATGGGTGGAATATTGAAATATACGTCATCCGTCAAAAAGCAGGCGAAGAATATATTAAAAGTACCCTTGCGGATCATAAAAGGCAACCGAATGATTGAAGCAAAGAACTAACAATTGATTCAAGTAATCCAATCAATCCAATTAATCCCAGGAACGGTGATTGATCCAATTGAACTGAAAGTCTTCCAACTCCCAATGAATCCAAAACGAACGACAGACTCGGGTTGCATGTATACATATAGAGAGAGAGAGAGGGGGGGGGGGGGAAGATGGAGAAACAAAAACAGCAACAGCAACAGAAACAGAAACAGAAACAGAAACAGAACTAGGAAAGAAAAAAGATTTCAATCCCTTCCCCATGAGCATGAGTCAAAGACCGGTAACGTAGGTACCGTACATACTTGAGTATCACACCTACTTTTTCCCTTTCGCTTTCCCTTTCTTTCCGTTTCCCTTTCCCTTTCCCATTCCCATTCTCATTCCCATTCCCACTTCCTTTCCCATTCCCATTCCCACTCCCTTTCCCTTTCCCTTTCCCCTCGTTCATCGACGAGTGAGTGATAAGCAATTCCCATCACACCATAGCACCGGTGACATATCCCATCCTATTCTATCCCAATCCAACCCATCCTATTCCCCTTCCTATCTTAGACTCATCTCTCTGGCCGATAATCGGCTTCCCTCGACATCAATTCCAGACAATTCCCACCTGCCGCTCTCCCTACCCCAGTGGCTCTCCACCCACTAGCTACCTAGTTAGCAGTAAACTTCCCAACCTTATCGACTTTCCCATCAATTGCCCGCACACTTCTACCCAAACAGTTTAGCCTCTCGTCTCACGTGATCTCAAAAAGCTTAACCTGCATACCTTGTAGTAATCAAGAAACAAAACCAAGCCCTATAATTGGCCCAACTGATTGAAAAGCATTTTTACCTACCTGTTTGAACTTTACTCAAGTACTGTCCCCACTAAATATACCTAGACAGTACAGAAAGTGGGTATGCCGTTTTCCGGCATCGACTTTTCCGTGTTGTTGTCGGAACTAGGGATGAGTAGATTATATAATATGAGTGGTGATTATATAGTAAGGTTCTACAATATAATACTTTTTGAGGTGTATAAAATATTACGCCAAGATTATTTACATAATTAGTTAACTAATTAAATTAATAGAAAAAAAAGTGAATCATTTTTAAATATATTTTGAGAGGGGGTTTATTTTTTTCATTTGAGTTTATATTTTATTTAAATTCATATAAATCTAGTAGTTATGTTTTTATATATTACACGATACTATATTTATATATGTATTCATATTATATAATTTATATTTGAATTTAAGCATTATTACACATCGTAATGAGGTGAGGATTATTATACTTATAATAATTATAAATCGCTCCACCCTTTCCATCTTGGGACAATGAGCACTCTATCAAGTTCTAGTCCTACAAGAAGGATTTTTCTGGTTCACGAAAGTGGCATTCTGACGCATGTGTGATATTGAGAAGAGTCACTTAGTTTGATTGTGGGTTTAGGTAATTGATGTTTGGTATTATGTCATTGGTCTTCTCGTAAATATGTCCAACTATATGTTCCTAGGTAGGTGGCGAAGATACAAGATTACATACACATACATACTCACTTATATGTATATACACATATCCGAGGAAAGTCTACGAAAAATGAACGATGAATGTCGGTGATCTAACTATATACAGTATACAGTTGATCGGCATTCATACTACTTTGACTATCTACCGTCCACATTATAACTACAACTTTCGTCAAAACTACTCATCTACCTTCCTACCTGACTACCTACTATTCCCATCCAGTACATATCACCTCCCCTCAATCCCCATCCAGCACATATTAGCTATCTTCAACCCCATCACAGAACTCAAGAACCATAAAAGTAAAACAAGCATAACATTCAGAATACAAGAGTAAATTTGCCATAGATAATAATAAAACGCTACAAGGTAACCATAATAATAACAATAATAATGCTACTTGCTCGCTCGCTTGTTTCCGCTTGTTGGCTTGCATTTGCTAGCTCGCTTCTACTAAGATGATATTGATAGTGATGATGACAATAATGACAATAAGATAATACGCCCAATCAATCCAAAATACGAAATACAAAGCACAAACCCCGCCCTCTTTCAAAACAAAAACAATGCCGTTTTAAAACCAAATACCGCCTCCACCTATTTCAAAATGCATGCAGATATGTATGTATAAATGTATGTAAATATGTACGATACTCACTAGCTAATTGCTAACGGTATATAACCTATCCTACGACATCCATTCACACACACACACACACACAATGTGAACACAGAAACCCCTTTCCTTCCCAATCTCCAGACATTCAAGATCCGCTTGAGCCGCCATGATAAGATAGACAAAGATGGATATCAACATGAGATGCGATCAAGACGCTTGCCCATCGCACCAATCGCAAACGCAACCATATATTTTGTAAATGCAACGACATGATTTAACCGCCCATAAACAGCCAAAGTCAAAGTCAATGCCATTCCAATATGACTTGACCGACTTCCCAAAACCAAACAATGAACAAAAATGTTTCCAACCATGATAGACATAATATGTCGGATGCGGTAGGTGTATTAGAGAGGTAAGTAATAGAGGTAGATGTATATGACGTATATAAGTTGCGAATATGCGAGTATATCATTCTCTTCTCGAAAAAAAAAACATAACTGTATACGCATTTCCCCTTCTAGATTCTTCAAATTTGATATTGCAAATATCAAGTCGAAGCATTCGAGAAGTTCGACTTCTCCTGCTTCAACTTTAACGGTGTCTTACGCAAACTCTTCAGAAGCTATACCATTAGAGAGAAATTATTAGCTACACTCCACGAGGTAGAAAATTATCAATGATGCCAACGCAAAGACAATTCCACTCTCAGTAGTAGATTTACCACCTGATTCTAATAGGTGTGTAAAGTTAACACGAGAAGGAATTAGAAAAACTAGTAAAACCTGCTGCGAAAGTGGTAACTTGACGTGCCTGATAGTCTTTCTCAAGTAGACCAGTGTATTTTCCTGCATTGACCAGGATCTTCATATCGGTATACAGAGCCGATGATCGTGTTGCCACGATCCCAAGGAAACTAAGAGTTCTCTCGAGAAGGTCACTAAGCCCTTGCTTATCAAGAATCCCATCAAATAATGGTCGGAGGATATTATCGTTCCATGCTGCTTGGAGAGTGAGCACATTGCCCCATTGCCTAATTTTCTATGTTAGTAGATAGCTCATTCAATATAAGTGCATGTAAACTTACGCATGTGCAGTCCCCCATGGATTTGTGACGAACAGTCTACCCTCGCCTAAACCATGAAAAGCCCTGGTGCTATTAACAAGTGCTTGGATACCATTTTTTGCATAAGCCAATGCTTTCTCGTCGATTTCTTCTGCTGATGTCGCGTATTTATTGATGCTCGGTACTTCAATACCATTCCGGAAATCATCTGAGGCGCGTTCTATAGAGTTTGAGGTTGAAACCGCATGTGAATGTTCCAAGATCTTCAAAACGAAATTCCTGTAAGTGATGACCTGAGCGCCATAGTACTTGGCTCTCATTCGCGCTGTGAGAATATCACTCGCAGGAGGGTCATTCTCTTGCCAGGTACTAGTTCCTCCAGCTTCTTTCCATCGATAAAGAAATTCCTCTGCAGTGGCTATTGACTCGAAATGGTTGGGATCATGGCGGGTGTATACAGAAGGAAATTGAGAGTCTTCCGGAAAAGGTTAGTAGTTTTCGACTAATCTAAGAAGTTCTAAACATACCATTATCGGGTTTGTAGAACATGTTGTGTAATTGATTGAGGTGCTTTCGTAGGTAAAGTTGGCCTTGATAACTCAACAGAACCATCTGATCAAAACCTTCTTTCACAGCTTCAACTATATTTGGACTTGGCATATTTTCTTCGAATGTAAGAATACCGGAATGCGGACATGGTAACTCTGCTACAATATCGCTATCATGTGATGTTAGAATCTTGATTCACTGATTAGACGAGAAAGACAAACCTTTCAAGTTGTAAGCACGTCCAAAATGCGAAAATCAGCGGATTGTCCTTTGCCAGCACGGGAAGCCCATCTTGCTTTAACTTTTTGAAGCGATCAAGTTTCCTAATGCCTATTTTAGTCGCATGTCACTCAGTACCTGGCTATGACTTACGGTCTCAAAATAACTTGTAAAGCTCTACAAGCCTGATGAATGTACGAATGACTTTCTAAAACTCTTGCAAGTTGTCCGTGATAAAGACCGGCTAAAATATTCACATGGACATGCTGTAAACTATTTCCTCCAAGTTGATTTCCAATGATATCTGTAGCTAGTGCGAAATATGCCAAACCGGGAATAACATCCACGTTCCTAGGTCTGAAGCCACTTCTTGCCGAATACGAATCACCTTCTATTGAAGTTCTTCGGCTGCGGGGATAAAATCGATCAATGTTATCCTGAGGTGAAGGTAATTCTGAAGATTGGGTTGGAGAGCTTTGAATAGGCGATGGATGGCCATTTCGTACAACTGGAGAATTGATATGACCCCAAGGATTTTCAATATCTTTGTCGGAAGGAAGCTCGGGAATTTTCTGCCTTTCTTGACAAATCTTGCCGAGTGCCAATACCACCAGCACTAAAGCTGTGCTGATTGATCGACTTGGATGGCCTGGCTTGACAAATGTCCCGTAACCGCCAGTAACCGAGATTTCCGGAGGTTCTCCAACTCCCGGTGATCTTTTCCGCTTGCTTCCTGGACTCTCGGGCGGCTTCATACTCACGAAACCAGCATGACTCGTATGCTGTGAAGCCAAGTTCTGGACTTGCTTTGGTTTCGCGGAATCCGATGGAATGGATTTGAGAAATGACTCGACCAGAGCATCCAGTCGCCTCGGTATCAAAATTGGATGCATAATATTCATGTGCTCCTTGTAACTTCTGACCAAGTCCAAAACTACATTTTTACGGAAATCAGGCATCCCATCCGACATAATACTGCCTACAACTGGTGGAGGATAATCTGGCGCACTTGATGGTGGAGTCATACCACCCAATTGACCCCATTCTTCACCGGCCGGAGAAGAGACGTCGGAATTGGTATCGACTGTAGAATCTGCGTGATCTGTCATAGGATCTCGATCATAACCTTGTGCTAAATCAATTCCTTCTCCTCTTCCGAATAATCTCAAGAGTCCACGTCGTTCTTCCTGCAGCATTGGATATTTTTCATCCTTCACGTTCTTGGGTAAACCCCCTCCGCCGTTTATCATTTGCTTTACAGAAGGGACTAGCAAAAGCCTAGCTGCGCCCGTCGTGTGATTCACTGGAATTAAAGGTTGCCCCGGCGGCACAGGATCGCCTTCCTCCTCCTCTTCGAGTGCACCAGGCGTGGATCCTTCGAGTGGCGGTCCTGGGCCCACCACTGGTGGATCTATCGGCGTGGCATCATGAAGGATGTTCAGATTCGAGCTATGAAATGTTCCAAATTCACCATCAGGTAATTGAACATCGTCTCTCCCTTCTTCTTTCATTTGCCCCTCGATACTCGATAGAGGCCGGCCGGCTCCAACTCTTTCCTGTAATTCGTCCACTCGTTTGTTCAATGATTCAAGACCCGTCTGCAAAACATTGAACAACTCTGTGTTGCGGTGTTCCAATCGGATCAAGGCCTCGATGATGTCCGTGGAAGCTTTATCAATTCTACAATGGTCAGCAGCGTATCATACCAAAAATCTCTTTTTGAACCTACGGTTTGGGTGGTGGATCTCGATAATGACATTCGAAATTCTTCTCTTTACAACTACCACAAGCCGGTCTCCCTTCGTCGCATTTTGCCTTCAGATTGCGACAGCTATCGCATGCCTGAGCCGCGCGTTGCGCTTTCCGAGGCTTTGCAGGTTGAGAATAAGGTGTGACTGAATACTGTTCCCGAGGTGGAGGATGGGGATGACCTTGCGGTGGACCATACATTGACATAGCCCCGTCGAATGTCGGTGTCGTCATCGGACTTGTAGAGGGGGGTGGGGGTTGAGGCTGATACATGGGAGGAGCGGGGTTATTATTATACATCTGCGGAGTGTGTTGCGGAGTATGCTGAGGAGGTGGAGGTTGATCGAATCTTGGTGGAAAGGGCCTTCCTCTTTCTTCAGCGTAAGGTAGATTTACATGATGATCTGTGCCATTGGTTGTCGGTGGTGGCCTGTGTTGTGGAGGTTCTTCTGAAGGGTCCGGCTTCACGATGGGTTCCCGAGGGCCATTGTGCCCATTGTGTCCATTGTATGAAGGTATGGGAGGTGGCGGTGGGTGTTGATTATGTATATTGTGGTAGACATGCGCATGTCCTGAGTTAGGGCGATGAGGATCTTGATGTTCTTGGAAGTTGGGGTGGGGAGGTCGTCTATCGAGGGGGTGGGCATGAGAATCGGGACGGGAGAATGGACCGCTATTATAGGGAGGTTGTAAAGGAGGAAGGGCCCTGGAAGGGTTGGGCTGATTGGGCTGCTCGATGGGCCAAGCAGGACCGGGCCCTAATCTTGGTCGCTTTGAATCTGGTTGACCATTGTCCATCATTGCGATTCATACAAAAAAGTTAAGTGACCACGACAGCTAAGGCCATGGACTGCGGTCGAGCGCGGCGGCTTCTTACAGGTTCGAGGGAGAACACAGAGGCGTAGAAGAGTTCAGTGGAGAATCATCTGCGCAAGTATGTATTACGGACTGACGTGTAGGTAATCATGTGTGTGATGTAACGAATGCCGCGCAACTGAGTAGTGAAGGTTAGATGGTGTGGTAAACCGGTCTGTTCGAACAGGGTTTGAGATGATCAGCCATGTTTTCTTCGGAAAGTAAAGTAGAGTACGGAGTAGTAATAAGCTATCTAAGAGCTACCCGGGTACCAAGCAAGTGGTCCCTTGAATACAGTTTTGCGCTGGAGTAAGGCGCGACAGAGGAGGTGGTTATCCATGAAGAAATTTAAAGCATACATTACCTTGGATATTGATTAAACCCTTTCAAGTAGAGATCAAGATCTGGTCTGCAATGCGACTTTCTAGGTAGGTTACTTTTGAATGCTTTCTTGCTGAGAAAGATTTTATGAATAATAACAATAATAATGATTCTTCGAGGGGGGGCTTTAAGATGAGAGAAAAATGGATAAATAATAAATAATAAATAAATAATAAATACTAATAAGTGGATAAATAAATGGATGATTGGAATGATTGGAATGATTGGAATGGTTGGAATAATTGGGGTAATTGGGATAATTGAACAATTGAACAATTGAACAATTGAATCAATAAGTGGTTATCTAATAAGTCCTGGGATCTTTTGGGAGGGAAGGGAAGGGAAGGGGGGGTGCTTTGCCAATTGTAAACTTTAATAGCTGAGGCGGGAGCTAGGATTCAGGGAAGTCAGGGGAGTCAGGGATTCGTCGTTTTCTTCGTTTTCTTCGTTTCTCGTTTCTCGTTTCTCTTCAAGTTTTACCCTCGTTTTTCTTTCTTTCGCGTGCGTGAAGGTGGGATGATAATATGTACCAAGCTGAATACTTCGTATGTTCTTTTAGATTGAGTTTTGAGTTTGGGGTTTTGGGATCTAAGAGTAACCTGGTACGTACTTGCACCTTAGTAAAGAGCGGGAGTAGGCACGGTACGTTGAGTAGTGTACGCGTAGTGTGAGAGTAGTGAGGTACGATAAAATGGTCGAATCAGATTTCAAGATGATTGTGGGATTGCGTTTGTGTATGTATGTATGTATGTATGAATGTATGTAGGTTGGTAGGTTGGTAGGTTGGTAGGTGAGTAGGTATGTATGTGTATGTGTGTGTGTGTGTATTTCTAGGATCTCTTGGCGCCTTTTCTGTTGCTATGTGGATTGTTAGAAGAAGAGGAGAGGAAAGAAGAGAGCAGAAGAGAAGAGTCAGTGGAAGAGAAAGGAAGAGAAAGAAAAGAGAGTGCGGACGAGAGAGAGAATAGAGAGAGAAATGTGAATCAAAACATCAACTATCGAATTGCGCAAATAACAATCGAAAGATAATGAATGTAGAGGTAAGCACCATGCAATACAATACAATACAACACTATACAATAAAATACAATATATAAATGCACAGAGATAGAGAGGAGCAGAAGGGATTTGCAAAGGAGGCAAAACAGAGCAAGCAACCAAGCAACCAAGCAATAGTTCCGAACCAGTCGTTTAATGACCGAGGTGTGAGTTTTGTGCAGAAATGGTGGGTGGATGGATATTCTGCGTTCTTTCTTTCTTTCTTTCTTGCTTGCTTGCCTTCTTGCTGTGGATTGTTGTTGCCGTCCTTGAATGGATCGTGATGATATAGCAGAGATGATTATGATGATGCTGGGAAAGTTAAAATGTCCCCTTTTCTGAGTCTCTCCTCTCCCCACCACAATCGTACAATCAAATCAATCAGGTGTTCCAAAGTGCAAGAAAAGAAGAAAATGAAAAACAACCTTGAACCCGTCAAAAAGTTCACAATAACTCCACTCCAAACTTATTGTTGTCCCCTCTCTCGTCTCCTTTTCCAATTTGAAAAATTAATAAAATAAAATAAAAACTCTCAGACTCTAACCTAATTTCATGCCAGCTTGCGTTGATTTTTGCCCTCGATTACCAGTCGATGGATGATTCAATCTTTCGACCTTCGGAAACGGTGGGAAAACGCTTCGAAAATCAAGATATCCCACCACGGGAAATCAATGAACAATCAAGCAAACTTTACAAACTCTAGGTTATAGTCCAAGGAGCACGACAAGGATAGAGGTGATGGGCTTGATAGGTGAAGAATAAATAAGGTACAAGGCAAGAAGAAGGTTCATGCAAGTAGGTATCCAAAAGATTGACGTACTAACCCGTGTCTTCGTGATTTGGAATGTATGGAAGGGAACAAGTGTATAGCGCCTGTGCCTGTGTTACTGGATCCGGCGCATTCGAAAGCCGTTAAAGATGAAGAAGATACGATGGAGTTGCAAGGCTCAGTATGCTAGCATGCTGGTATGCTGGTTGTTAGATGTTGGTTGCTGTCGTATACCCTTCCGAGACCTGCGTTGTTTGGTTCGTCTCTCCGCTGTCTCTCTTCCGCGTAGCAGCGCACTTTTCGCGATTCACGATTCGAGTGTTCAGTGTCGGTGCAGTCAGTGTTCACTATTCAGTGTGTTCACGAAAGCTTTCGTGCCCAGTTACCCGGTGCCAAACCACCCGAGAATAGGCGATATAATGCTTTTGTGGGTAGGTAAGGTTATTTTGAAGTTGGAAATAGTTTACTCGATTGACAAGGGGGAAGGAAGTGTAAATTATAATGTAAAGGTCACCAAGGTGGGATAATAGGTAGTCTGTTAGTGCAACGCGAGTATGCTTAATGGGTTGAGACTAGGATGAATGTAATACCTGAGCCGGCTGGAGCTTGATTTGGGGAATGAGGCGTGCTGGTGGTAAGAAGTAAAAGTATGGTAAAGGTGTGCGAGGGGCAAGAGGGGTGCCGGCTTACGGTTGATTGATTCTACGAGCGAGGTGGTAATGGGCAGGCTGGCTGGGCTGGATGAAGATATCAATCAATGGCATGCGATTGGAAAATGATATCGTGAATTGTGAATGCCGCTCAATCAATTAAATGATTTCAATATCAAACTTCTTCCTCATTGCTGTAGCTTGCCATCTGCCAATTGCTTGCTCTCACCCGTCCACCTTTGCATCCCACTACTGCTAGTATCAAATAATGCTACCCCTACTTGATGTAAGCTTCGCCCAGCAGGGTAATTATTTATTTTGTTTTGTTGAGTTAAGTCTATACGATGTCAATGACTGGCGGCAAAGGGATTGACGAGGAAATGATAGATAAAAGGGTCTAGCCATCCCAAGTGGGGCAACAACCCAGTAGACGATCCATTTCCATTTCCGATATGTGAAAGAAAAAAAACTCTGCGTACGAGATTTAATGAGTGAAAATACTGTATAACATGTCATTGTCGATGAGAAATACGTTCAAGCCTTGTGTATATTGTATCAACGTCAAAGTACTCAAGATACTAGTGTACCACCACATGACATCTCATCTCTCTTTCCAAACATATACACAACATCAAACTTCATCCCAACGCACCAGCAAAGCCTAGATTCCTAGCAGGAAACTCTTCTTACCATCCCAACAACAACATCTTCTTCATCATCCTGAGAATTATGTCCGGATCTGTGTACACCAGCATGTCGGATCTCAGGAATGCGAGCCAGTAAGCAGATGATGTAGCACGTCGTCTCAAGCTGCCCAATGGTCCACCATAGAGGGATTGATAGTCTCGTCTGGCCCTATCTGTAGAACAATCACATCCAATGCATTTTAGCGACTTTATCCAGTGCAGAACAAGCACATTCTCCTCATTCGAAGCTTTCTCTACTGGGAAGGATGCGGGGGCGTCAGTCACTTTCATGTGTATTTTCCCATAGCCAAGCTGGGGGCTTGTCAGGTTGTCAGCCTCGAATGTCGTATGACCTGTTCCTTACAATATTCTAAAACAGTGCTTTTGTGATGGCATATGATTCAGTGTTGGCTGCATATGTAGAAGTACAAATTCCACACTCCCAACTACATGCATTCTGGAGTACGTACGTCCATGCCCAGCATACAAATCGTAACGTGAAGCTCTTCGCTCTTTCATCATTCCCAGAGATTCCCAGAAATTCCCAGAAATTCTCACAAATTCGCACCAGCTTATGATGAACAACAGGCCTCCTGGTCATGGTACATACCGATGCCTTGGACATGGGAGGCACCACTCTTCAGCACCCATTCTTCTACGCACGATTGTCCTGCATCAGAATCCTTCGCCTCGTCAACCCCATGGAAATTAATCGGTAATGTCTCCGTGCCCCAGTATGCTCCCTGAGCCCTCTGTCATGAAAATGAGTTGTGGATATCGAGCCATCATTTCATTTTCTGGAAGGAAGGAATTTTCAAAGAAGTCCCTGCCCAGTGCCTACCTGGGTATCCTCATCTCCCTGGCCCCGTGGCTAACTTGCTTTGGCTCGGACTTCCTATGTCTTGGTAAAACAAGAAAATTCACGAGAGATTTCTTTCTGGAAGGGTCAAAGCGTGCTAACAATGTCACATACTCAGTACTCGAAATGTAACAAAAATGTCCACATTGATGATCATATCAAAATCACAAACTTCCATCACGCAGTGTTTTCGCCTCCTCTGCCTCTCTTGCCTTCTTTTCCAAATAAAAATGATTTCATTTTGTTTCGCAATCATATGATTACAATATCTACCATTTCCCATATCATTTTTGACAAACAATATCACTCGTCCGACTCGAAGAGATCCCAGGCTCCCAGGAAGTGATGAATGAGATCAGCATGGAGAACTGCGGGGACTCTAGCAACTGATCCAACGGCTTTCGGGTAGAATCCTCAAAGTGCTTCTTTTCCTTCCATGCTCTCCCCCAATCACAGCGTCGTTCCTGAAAATACTTCCCGAGAACATGACGATAAGTACTGGTACACAAAAAACAAAAGTACACGTTCGGCGGAACGGGCGCGAGGCACGGAACGATACGTTTACTTGTGATTTCTAGCCTCCTTCTAGCCCTACTTACTCAAGAATCAGAAGGGTTTCCGTTCGTAAGTGGAGGAATAGCTCGGCTATTGTTCAACTCGAGTCAGTATTGTACAGAAAAAAACAAAATCTACTCGGACTCGGAGTCTCTAGGAGGGCTCTAATTTGCGCCATCGAATGTCTCAGACTCGATGTAATAATGGAACAGATTCAAAAGAAAACAATGCGCATCATCGAAAGGGAGAGAAAGAAATGCATGACAGCGACCGCAAATATGCCCCAATCATGTTTCGTGAGCTCCCCCAAGGAGTCGGGCATGAGTTTTAAAGCCTGTTAACCACATGTAATCGCGGTGCCGTACCGGCGTCTAGAAATATCTGGGACTGAGAATCACGGAAAGGTTACACAGAGTCCTTGTGCTCACTCTACTCTGTACAGAGTACACTCAGTAGAGACCGCGATGCGACGATCGGTTACACAAAGGTTAGGTTGGGCATATATGGTACATCGTCGGCGATCAGCAATCGAGGAATACGGAGGATTAATGAACAATAATACTGTAGATATCCCTTGCAGGCGAACCAAATCATCGAAACGAGTATCCGATGCAACGGCTCCATTGACTGGTGCCCGAAAAGTCCGCGGCAAACAAGGATACGTCAAATAAACTTTTTCCACGAAGCTTCCTATCCAAATTCCGGCACGATCTAAGCTCGTTCGCCATTCTTACCCGGTAATGTACTAAACCACGAACTTGCATGTATATTATCTTGCATGGTATCATTTGCATAGTATGACTCTTGTAAGAGATAGGTTTAGACTACGGGGACTCATCGACAATCGTTACGACTGGATGCGGATCATCTGACGTTCCTGGCGTGCAAACGGACTGTGTTATCCGTACGTAAAGATGTGTAACCTCACCGCTTCTTCCAAGCTACAGGATCGATGGTGCTGATGGAAATGCGATTGATCACTTAGGAGGCTGAGGTTATAGCGCGAGAGACTTAAGATGGCCGACAGGAAGATGATAAGACGGCTAAACACTAATTGAAAAGGCGGTGGTGCTTCCAAGTTCCATGTAATGTGACTTGTGCCCTGAGTTGTTGATGTTGCTAGCATGTTGGTTAGGTGGAATGTGCGACGAGGAAATCATATCGATGGTTGCAGCTGGTGGTGATTTGCTTCCAGAACCGGTACTCGTTTTCCCGTGGCAGATGATAAACTTCCGATGTGACCAGTGAGGGTCTTCGGAGGTTAATATGCAATATGCGCAAATCTTCAACTTTTTTTCTGACTCGTTACTTGCATTACCTTAACTGGTATGCAATCATTGCAATGCTGTTAGCGAAGTACACAAACATGCGATTCTATTCTGATAATCAAATATCTCAAGCCAGATCTGCACCATTTCGTCTGTTTCACAAGAACACGAATATTGGATCTATACAATCCAATCCTGGCCCGTATAGACGAACGGTTGGTTGATGCTATCGCATATGAGTTATATCTAATACGACCAGTATCTCTGTATTCAGTAATCATATACATCCGAAACATTCCTCCGTAAAAGAGGCAAATTGCAATGTACCGAATACATGAACTGATAGATAAGAAAACGGTGAACCTTCAACCCCTCCAGAGGCAAGAATACAAAAAGACTATTGGTGAAACGGGAAATGCCAAGGCCAAGATTAACCAGGTCCACCTTGTACCATTGTACGGACCTTTTTCCACGTGTCAGCGGAGACGACTGGAATATTCTGACCCTTTATCCAACCAAAAGCCAACCTTCATCTACCTTACCTTGTTCAACTCGGTCGTTCAAATTTTCACGCCTAGTTTGTCAGAGCTCATTGATGGAAGATTGCTTTCTACCGGTAACCGAGTTAATTTTCAAGGATTAATCACATTCATTTCTCTTGAACAAGATCGCTACACGCTATCCTGAGCTATCAGAGTCAGCCCAAATGTCGGTGTAACACAAAGCATGCAAGCTTACTCATGTGTCAAATGAGAACGTGAGTGCCAATTTTGATATTTGACCAAGGTCGCACGAGTTTGTTTCGGTGTACACCATCAGCTTTGAACGTTCCAATAAATCGGAAAGCTACGGCGAGACACCATCCGCATTGGTTGCCGAAGATACCGATTGTAGATGTCGTATCCGGCTCGTCCCTTGACCGTGAAAGGGCTAACTCGATTAAATGAAAATCTATCACGCCACCGACCCTCAATCCTACTCGTATAGCTCCATACCCGTGAAATTGGGCTGGTAAAAAGCAGTCTGATAACGAGCCCGTACGCCGTTCTGATCTCCTGACTGGTCAAATTTCCTTCTTCCGTTAATCATATTGAACCCCTTGAGTGTTGGCTGGAGTCCAAAATAGCTCGTCTAAACCCAGTGTGACAGCAACCCCAAATCGCCCAAGATCGTAGTCTACCGCTCTGTGTCGTGGCTGTCTAATATCTACGTATGCTTATTTCAACCCGAGCCATTGACATGATCATCATGGACGCGTCTTCTCTTGGCGGGCCTTTTAGCTTCTAGGGGTGAGCTGACAACGCTGCCTGTTCGAGAGCGTCGACCGCGTCCAAGAATATTGATATTGAATTCCTCTCCCTCCGTAAAAGTCAGGTCACCCGTTTCCCCTAGGATCTCTCGAGATGCTTCTTCCATCAGAATACCCAGTCCTATCAAAGCAGTCTCGTCCATACTGCGCCAATCTATTGACCCTCCCTCTGGAGTTGCACGAGAATAGAAATCTGAAGCATAGGTGTGAAGCGATTTCAGCAGATCGGAGTCTGGCAACCCCTTCGGAGACTCTCGCTCATTTGCAAAATAGATGTCCGATTCGGCATACCTGGTTGGCGCATTTTTGCTCCGAAACAGCACAGCTTCGGGAGGCACAGCGCTTAAAGAGGACGATGTAGTATCCCGCGTTGAGGAGACAACCACACTCCTAGGAATGAAACCTGCTGCGGAAATCCGACCTGAGCCATATGTCAATACGTAACTTTATCTCCGATGGATGTCGTGTTTTGGAACGTTACCTGCAACAGCGTCGTAAACGGATGGTTTTCTTGTTCGTGAAACCTTGTCCCCCTCTATTGATTTTTCTTCAACATTTGGATTGATAAAAGTGTTCTGTGAAAATGCCTTTGAAGTCATAGTGTCTTTCAATTTTCGAATGTTGATGTCTAGGAAGTAGAAGATGAAGAAGAACCGTGAGAGCTGAGTCTAGCTAGAGCGCTCTAGAAATTGAAATTTAGCTCAGTATGACAATGATCAAACAACCCCGCGTAATTTGTACGGTCGCGTCGCGATCTTTTCAGACTTTATTCCCACATAAGCAACACTTCTCGGTGTATCATACACGTAGTAGATATTGACATTGAGCTATATCATCACCACTTGTACCTACGCACTCCAATTAATTCTTTTCGAGTGCGAGAGTCTATCGTACACCAAATGTATGAATCAATTGATCTTTGATCGATCAACAGGCAATCTTAGCCCAAATGCCTTTGCTCGCATTCAGACTACCCAGTTAATTCACGCAATTTTACCAGCCCCAAAGGTAACATTCGATGGTGGTGAAAAGCCTCCGACGACTTTAGTTTCAGGTACGGAAACTCGAGATTACGAGCCAGCGAAGATATGGGCGCATCAAACTGGAGTAAATGCCCTGTCAATAGATAGATTTGATGGAAAGATGTAAGAATGAAACGAATAATAATACCTATTGAAACATCTGGGCTAACGAGAAGATATATAGTCTTCTTTCTGGTGGTGCAGACGCATCGATCAAAGTTTGGGATCTTGATCAAATCCCCACCGGGGCATCAGAATATATATTCCGACCAACCGGAATGATCCCCAGGTATTTTACAGATGTCTATCATTGTGCCGAACAGTTGGGAAGCATCCACTAACTCGGGTCTGCAGGAGTGCTTCCGCGCATCAATATGGCATTACACATCTTAGTTTCTATCCTTTCGATTCTGCCGCGTTTCTCTCTTCCTCGTACGATCATCATCTCAAACTATACTCCACGGAGACTCTCCAGTTATCCGCAGACTTCGATCTAGACTCTGTAGTCTATTCACATGCCGTATCTCCCATTGCACAACATCTTTTGGTGGCTTGCGCAACTCAACATCCAGCTGTCAGGCTCGTAGATCTCCGGTCCGGCGCAAGTACACATTCATTAGCTGGACATCATGGGGCTATCCTCTCGGTCGCTTGGCATCCAAATGTTGAGCATATACTAGCTAGTGGTTGTGTAGATGGTACGATTCGTGTCTGGGATGTTCGAAAGAGTTCTGGCGCAGTGGGTTTATTAGATTTGGAAGATGCAATTGGGATGACAACTACACATGGGATGGCAGGTGGCCGATCAAGAGCTTCTGCCAAGGCGCATGCCGGAGCTGTCAATGGTCTGACGTGGACGGATAATGGAAACTATATCATATCTGCAGCACACGATGAACGGATTCGAGTCTGGGATGCAGCTACGGGTGCAAATACTCTCGCAAGCTTTGGCCCAACAATCAAGAATGGACATCTCTCAAGTCTACCCATTGTAGTGTCACCTACAGCATTAACACCTCCCATGAAAGAACTTCTATTCTTCCCCAATGAAAAAGAAATTCTTGTCTTCGAACTTCATGAAGGTCGTCTTCTCAAACGACTCAAAGTTCCTGGTCCTATTGTAGCAGCAGTGCGATCTCGAACCGGTGAACGAAATATCCGGAATCGTATCACAGCATTGGCATGGAGAGAACCGGTTGATGGTATATATTCCGCTCATTCGGATGGACAGATTAGAGCTTGGATACCTAGGACTGAAGAAGATCTTCAAATGGATCGCGAGGAAGAGGAGAAAGGCAAGACTCGTGATGAGGATGAAGGGGGGAAGAGGAAGAGAAATGTTCTTGATGATGTGTTTAGGGATTTGACAAGACAGAAAATAAGTTTTTGTTAGGCAATTCATCTATCTTAAATGCTTCTTTCTTCTATGACTCGTTATCACGCTGGCTTTGAAAATGTGATGCTCACCTGAGTACACCCTGCAAGGCTTAATGGCTTCCTAAACTGGACCCTCAAACTGCACCTGGTGTGAAATTCTTCAACGCCTCCCTATTTTCTATCTCTTAAGCTGTAGGGCTCATTAGTAGAATCATATCCGTCGCTTGGTATCCTGAATTTGCTTCCGACCAGCACTCGAGACTCATCAGGGGGGCTTTCCAAATCTCACCCGGGGGGCTTATCATGCGGACTTTCCCCAAATGCATGCCAAAGCTCAAAGAGAGCATTGCACATACTTTTGTCGGCTCACTTACTCTTAACACTGTCAGCTTTTGTGTTGTGGCTTAAACACGTACTAAATTAGCTAGGTACTACTAGTCTACTAGTATCTTCCATCACACGCGATTGGATAATTTCGTTTTACGTCCATAACTATCTATTTGAAGATTGACATTGAAGAGTTACAAAGGTAAAGCTTTGCAATAGCGCTATTATAATACCAATTTTGTTCTTGCATCTCTAAAAGCAAGCCTTCAATACACTCCATATCCGAACAAGCCCTCGGGCTGCTGCCCCCGAGTCCCTCACAAGCTGGATACATTCTGCTCCTGATACTCACAAGGCGTTATTTACAATCTACTGAAGTACTATCCCTTTTGGAAGGAAATTGAGCTTCAGAGAAGATTTGATTAGGTCTACTGATGAGTGTATCAATTGCTTATCCGAATTAGATCAATTTCTGAATACTAAGGTCTAACGGTTAATGGGTGTGATATTGGTTTGGTAGTACGAGATGAAAAGTTTGGGAATCTATACATTTGCAATTGACAGGTGCTCATCGGAACTTGTAATATTAAAACTCATGTCTGAAAATCTTCTTCCATAATATCCCCCTGTTTTTCTAAAATCATTTTCCCAAATGAATTCCCCCATCAATGACAGAGTTTGTGCCAGTGGCATTCTCGCTCTCAGCTAAACAGTATATCTGTCTAGCAACGTCTTCAACAGTTGCGAGTCTTCCTAGTGGGCTCTTTTTCTTTACTCCCTCTACTTTTGATTCGGGGAATTGGAGACCCCAGTCCTGTGGCCATGCGGGTTAGCTTGGTGCCATGTATTATGGTAAAGGACGGAGGCAATGAAAGTTCAACTTACAGTGAGCATCAATCCCGGTGAAACGGAATTCACCCGTATTGTTGACGTGAGAGCTAATGACTTGATGAGATGTATTTGAGCAGCTTTCGTCACAGAATATGCCTGAAATGGTACTCGTCAGCGCTCTTGTCTTAATCACGTTTATCATATCCTTGAGTTATGAACATACCATGGAACTCCCACCGGGTTTCACACCCCTAATATGATCTCATTAGCCCTTATTGATCTAGCAGAGCCAGATCACGAAACTAAAGATAGAAAAAAAGGAGACCACTAACGCAATACTAGCTGTCGATATAAAACTCCCATCAGTCTTCTCTAAATGTGGCTTCACAGCATGGAAGAGCCACAAATGCGACTTCACATTCATGTTGAAACATCGATCCCAATCTTCTTCGACAATATTGTCATCTAGATCTTGAAAATTGCGAATCTGTGTCCAGCCATGGTTTGAGACAACTGTCTACTGATTAGTCCCCTTGATTTACAAAATCAAGATACAAATTGATCGAAAAATCTGGAAGTCTGGAATACAAACACACCGACATCTAATCGACCCCACTTCTCCATACTCTCCTTAATCAATCTCTCCACCTCATCTTTCTTCGACATATCAGCCTTTATAGCCGTAACTACATCTTCCTCTACACTATCGTGTAGTGTTTTCCTCGCCAGATCTCCCAGTTCGCCAACAAGATCTTGCGCTTTGTCATGGCTGGAATGGTAATTAATGATGACGCGGACGCCGTGTGATGCAAATAGTCGAGCAGTGGCAGCGCCGAGCCCGGCTGAAGAAGCGGTTATCAAGGCTACAGACGCTCGCGTTAAAGGTGCCATTTTTGTAGTTGGATTTTGAGAGAGGGATGGAAGTCAAGATTGAGGTGAAGTAAGAGAGGGGCGGAAATTACCCCGCGGGTCATGCATGTGCCCCGCACTTTCCGATTCTGTGTGTTGTGTTTGGAAATTAGATATTTCAAGCGATGATTTTAGATTGTTAGCTCAGATCTTTTTTTGAACTACCTGATACCTCAAGATATCTTCATAGAGGCCTGCTAATGATCCCATAGGTATCCCTTTCCTCGCTTCCTCTCTTGCTTTTGAACTCTCGGTCTCTTGTATTTCTCTAGACTCATGCTCCAGACTGATACTTTGATACTCGTGTGGCGAAATTGCGGTCCACTCTATACCATTCGAGATATACACTCTTTCTAATTGGAAAATATAAAAGTCTAATCTCAAGCCAACCGATGTCTTCAAAGACTTCAAGATTGCAACGCTATCTAGTATATATCAATGCTCCTTTTTGAAGCAATTCAAAGTGCTACAACACAATATGTAGAACCCATCTTCATGATATTGTCTCTCCACTTAAGTCACAAATACTGGTCTAAATCGTGGTTCTGAGTGGATTCTCTTAGCATAGCACTTGCGTCTCCAACACTTGTCCTGGCGTTACATGTAATTGTATCTACAGTGTGGAGTATTAGCTTAAGCTGGTCGGGCGTGCAACGGTTGCGCAGTCGATGTATCTTGTGGTATGAAGGAAGAGGTATGTATGGACTTTGAATAGAGATGCGAGATTATGGATGGTGGGAGTATGGGGCTAAACTAGGAGTTCTTAGCGGAGGCTTCTACAGCAAGACGGGGAGAAGTAAAATGTATAAGGACAGTGGTGTGTGTGTGACTCATAGTTTCATAATAGTACCGTCTCGATAGCAGAGCGGAAGTGTAAAAAACCTATGGGGCGGGAGCGGCTCTCGAAAGCATCTTTACCATGGTCCCATACGATGGAAGATTGCTTCTTACTCCAGCGTTATGAGAACAAGGCAGGTTTTATACTACGAAAAAGAAAAGGAATGGAAGTCGATAGCAAAAATTCATATCAAACTGCAGAATAATCTTGCATCGTTTCATTAGGTATATTTATTCTTTTCCTATATGCGAAAAAGAAAAGAAAATCGTGAGTGACATATACAAGATGATGCAGATCGATCCCGCAAAAGCCAGGCCAGCCTATAATATTTTATCCCAAAACCTGTCATATCTTTATAGAGAGGAGTGAGCTGAATCTTTCGTAATATAGCTTACAGTCATTATGCATTCCAACGCCGTAATTTTGTGTCTGCTCGAGTCGAATGCTCAAGTAGACATAACCGTAGTCCCATTTTTAATTATACACTTTGTACATCATGATTCCTCCGCTAAATTTTTCGTTCATTACTCAAGTATATACGGAGTAAATCTCCTCCTTCTATGCGCCGAGCAATGCTGAGTTTGCATTCCGCGACATGTAAAACTTGGTTTTAAAGTATTCAAGGGTTCTTGACAACCCCGACCTTGGCAGCTCTCAATATTCTTCCATTGAGCTTGAATCCCTTCTGTTGGGTGTGGAAAACTGTGCCATCCTCCTTTCCTGCCATAGGAGTCATGAAAGTAGCCTCGTGTTCATTTGGGTTAAATTTCTCGGACTCGACTGATGGGTCGAATCTTTCCAGACCGTGCTTCTTCAAGGTTGACATGAGGATATTCTCGGTCATCTTTAGCCCTTCGTGTAATGTGATCAAGTCTTGTTGATGCTCATTGCGTTCTTCGGCAGAAACAGAGAGCTTCTCTGCGGGAACAGTGGTAAGAGCTCGGTCAAAGTTGTCGACGCTATCAACAAGATCTTTGGCGAATTTTTGAATAGCAAAGTCCTTGGCAGCTTGCATATCTCTTTTTGTGCGCTCTTGGAGGTTGCGAAAATCGGCGATGGAGCGGAGGAGCTTGTCCTGTAATGTGGGGTTAGCCAAATGCTCTTGAACAGGTATTTGCAATTCCTTTGCCACCGGATGAGGTTCGCAAGCTCATATCCCATAAGTATCAAGGTTGCAGTATCTGGCATAATGAGTGTAAAGCAGTAGTGAGGAAGCAGATGAATGATATTTGATTGAGCACAAACCTTTAATTCAAGAATCTCCTTGTCCTTTGCCTCCAAAGCCTTTTTCGATGGATCTTCTGCTTCAGCATCCTTCTTCTCTTCTGCTGCTGGCTCATCCTTCTTGGCCTCTGGTTCTGTAGCATAGAATCTCCTTCCTTGAAATTGCCTCGACGCAACTTGCGCGGCCAGCGAAGTATTATTGTGGAATTGAGATCGCAAAGGTTGTCTTGCGACAGAGCTGCGAACAGAAGAGCTCAAAGCTCGAGATGATTGACGGAGTAATGTTCTTGAGTTCATTGTGTCGTCGTTGTGAAGTATGATGTGGAGGCAAATCGAGTAAGTGAACACCAAAATTTATGGTTGATGGGAGACATCGGGATGGAAATTTTTAGTGTGGTTTTGGGCGGTCTAAGATGGCAGTAAGCGACCACCACCATCATCTGACGACATTTGAGTCTGCTTCTTGAACAGCAATCAAACAAATCTCAATTGAAGACCGACAGACATGAAAGCAAAGTCAGAATACTCGAAGAAATGTGGAAATATAGCATACATTCCATGGATGCGTCCAATTGTTTGACAGAGTTACACTGTTGCTGGATACATACTAATTAGGGATGCATAGAATGGGGGTGCATTCCTTTCATGTCCGGCCTGCTGCATCAGAATGGTTGAAACAGACAGCCATATATCAACAAGCATATGGAGTTCATATGAGTTCATATGAGTTTATATGGTCTCAAGATGTAACATATAGGGTTCATAATAATTGGTTCCTTGCTGGAACATCTCCAGGGAGCCTGTGCAGCTCTCTCCGCACAACAAAGCCTTGTATTTTATCTTCATGATACTGATCTTCATGACACTTTCTATCCAGACCAACCCTAGGTCATTTCTATCCAGATATTTTGTGAACGTCTCTTGGAAATACAATCATAATCTGGCCATCTTCTTCAGTTCTTGTTATCACGTGCTCGGAGCTTCAAGAGGTTTGAGTTTCAAGTGAAGTCGAAGTAGGGAATGTCACATACATATACATGGAAACTCCTGAATATGGTGAGTACCTGATCAAAAGGTTGATGCTGATAAAACTGTAGAGTTTAGATCTGTAACAAGAAGACTCAATCAGGATACCTGTCTGCAGATGGATTCCATATGCCAACGTTCATCAAACAACATATGAAAACTTCACACAACTTTGACAATCGGGTTGTCATGTAATCACTTCTGTGTTTCCCACCAGCAGCTGTGGATATTGTTGTATTCTTTCTCACAAGAGATTGCGATTGTTTTCAAAGCATATACAAACAGACAGCACCCATTACCTAGATCTAGATGTCTACAACTACAACTACAATTACAACTACAACCAGTATCAACTTTCACTTAATCTGGACCTTCACTTTCACTGTCAACACTTCTCCTTTAAATTACCGAGAGATTCCTACCACGAGAGAAGACCGTTGAGAGAAGACCGTTATCGGCCAAAGTTGTTGGAAATTAAAAGTCACTTCTCTTCATTTTAATTTTTAATCATCGAGCCTACTTACCTAGGTAGGTACAAATTGAATTGAATGTCAAGTATCCACCCGACTTCTATTCACTTTCTCGGTTAGCTAACCTTCAAATACAATACTTGAATTGGAAAATCGGCAAATCTCTTTTGAAAGAAAAATCTTTCAACCTAGACCAACATCAGTTCTCCAGAGAGCTTGTATCATCGAAGACATCTCTCTTCTCTACTTAGTACCAACATCTGTTGGTATCCGGTAAAAAATATCTGCAAAGAGATCAGAGATGGAGTCAAAAGAAAATAAGTCACCAGGTATGTTATCAATCCAGAAGAATTCAGCTGTCTTTTCCACGTGGGGCATTGGGATGCTCGAGGATTTGACCGAGATTGATTGATTGATATGTATCAATCTCGGCACAAAAACCTAATGAAACAATATTAAATCAGCATTGATTATAAGCCAGACTCTCAAGCTCCTTACTATTCGATATGGATTGTTTCCTGTGGAATCGTTTCGGGTTATACTGACCTTTTGTTCGTTGATAGGTGGCAGCCAGACTAATACTCCTACAAAAACAAGCTCTCCCAACTCTCCAAAGGAGGATTCTGTTGGTAGATTGACTGTAAGTCTTTTTATATCCTACCCTCATTTTCTTCTCATCTTCCAGACCTTTATACTGGTTTGAATTTAATTTTGTACTTTCAGACTTCACACCCTGAAACTCTGAGCAGTGGCACTATTTCAAACTGCGACCGTTTCATTTGTTCTAAATGACTTATCACTGACTTTTCTTCAAGCGTCGATCATCCATTCGAACACAGGCCGATAAGAATCTCCCTCTTCGTAAGATGAGCCAGGAATTCGACGCATTTTCTCAAAAAGTTGGTATAACTTCCCTCGAAGAAGCAAAGCATCATCTTCAAAACCTTGGTCCAGTACCTACACTTCCCGAGTAAGTCTTGAATTTTCCGAAGTTTCGTCCCTCCACTCGTTTCAGTCGTCATTTTGTTGCTTAGCCAATCACTGAAGCATGGTATATTTGTACTTCTATCTGCTTTACTACGGGTGACTGCGCTATTGTTTTACGTTTCGTTGTTTGGCGCATCTTCTTTAAACATATTCTATTTCTCCACAGAGTAGATATTCTCTTCATTCGACATCAATAACTCGTTCTGGACAACATCTCTCTACGCTGTGTTTCCACTACTTCTGTCTCTTCGATGGCGACATTTACTGGCGTTCCTATAAACACATTCTCAGTTATAAAGCACAGCTGACCCCTTCAATTAGTCCCGCGGAAATTGAAAACCGCAAACTGGTAGAGCAAGAGGAGAGCAAGATCATCCAAGAGGAGCACAAGTCCATCAGACGTGATTCCGTTAGCTTTTTGAAGCGTCGCACTTCTGAGCGCAAGACCAACCTCGCCACACCGACTTTGACAATCACAACCGAAAGTCTTAGAAACTCCCCAATGCTTTCTCCAGCAATCTCTCCAATACGCTCCCCAACACCACCTGATTCTGCTGTGACATGCATGGAACTGGCAGCGCCAATCTTGGGTTCGAGTTACACTGCGAATATGGTCGATTACCCTGATACTCTTCAATCTAATAGAGAGCAGACTATTCCAGCCCGGGACACCCCCATCACAGGGAATACTGGACCTTTTGGCCTCCGCAACCTTGTTCTCACTCCAATTGAGCAAGAAAATACTACCATCCAAGGCAAAGCAGATGAGCATGCTGTTAAGAATATTACGCCATCTTCTAGTCCATCAGCTACACCCGTATTCCCCCCTCGTGTCTCTAGCATGGCCCCACCTCCACCACATGTTGTCGCTGGCTGGTTAGGTGACGGGTATACTCAGAATTACGTAACTCCATCAACTTCGGCTGCGCAGACAATGGGAGCACACCCTTGGCAAAATAAAACTGCTAGCTTTACAGTTACTCCAATCATTTCTTTTTCTAGCCAACCGGACACTCGTAAGTTTTCCCGTTCGAATAATATCGCATTTTGTGTCTCCATTTACTATATTTCTCAACTCTGAAATTTCTCTCTTCTATATATACCAGGTCAACCCTAACACAACTACTCAGTCGAGTGGTTGCCCAGTTGATTCCTCTCACACTTCTGTGGCTGGTAGTCGCCAGGCTACCCGAATCTTGTCCCTGGCAGTGATGGCTCCGTGTTTGAGTTTTGCAAGAGGAGAGCTAACAATAGTCCTGTGGCAGAAATGGAACTTGAACACAAGAAAATCAAACCTGATGACTTTGATGTCGAGAGTTCTGATGGCATTAGCGGTGTGTCTCCGCAACAGTAAAGGGACTCGAGGACGTCAATGGCGGACAAGCGGATCAAATCAACTTGCAAGCACGACCAGGCTTTTCCAATTACGACTCCTCTGGTCAAACTTTGCTTGCCTCCTCCTTTGTATTCCGTCAGCCGATCTGGTCTTTCATACACCAAATGCTGCCCTTACGACTCTTCTTTTACACCTGCGATATGTCTTTTCAAGCGATATACCCCCGGCGTTGGGCCCATTCGATTTTCAAACTTTGAAGCCTCCATCTCGCTCTCAGCTTAGTTCTGCGAATGCTAGATAGAATCTGGGGGAGGGATATCTTTTCCTTTTTATGCGATCTTTGGGTTCTGATAGGTGGTCTTAGTCTACTCTTTCCTACATTCGATGTACTTACCTACTTTTGGGTAGGATAGGCAGGACGAGCAGAGAATAAAGTGTGGATCTTGTGCTTTGTCTCACTTGGTTTACAGGATGGGATGAATAGAATAAAATCTACGTTATATCGAACCAAAGATTCATAAAGATTGAAGATCTAGGGAAATAGATTTGATATTTGATATGTTACCTGAAAGTAAGGGTGTTTGAAACATTTTGCTTTGCGTTTGAGTGACTGCAGTGAGACTGCAGTGATAGCGATTCTTTGTGACGATAACTTTGAAACCTATTAGAGGAATATCTCATTGTAACTCGCAATCTTTACATCTCATGCACGATGAACTGCCCGCATATCTGCAGACCTACATATTCATCTCTCCTCTCTTTAAGTCCTAAAACCAATAAGTCCACTTCTCTGAGTTTCAATCCCACTCAGTGTTTCAAACCGTGCATGAAGTTCCCCAATCCCAAACCCCCATTTCCTATCAACTACATAATCTTCACATAATTTTCGCAAGATCATCACCTTCCTCCCTTCCTCCTTTCCCCTCAACTGTCATCCATCTGCATTGAACATTCCCTACCATCCAACTTCCTATTCAAAAAATCAAAACCCTCCCTCCCTCCCTCCCTCCCTCCCTCCTCCTCTTCACTTCCCCAATTCCGTCATTCTATCAAACAACGACGGACAGCTGAAAAAACAGCAAAGATAACTAATCAATACTGTTATATTAACATTCCAGCCAACACAGTAAAAATTACTATTAGGTAAAGTCATGACTCATCAGTCATGAATGAAAGCAGTGCGAGACAACGAAGCTACGACATAGGTATGTAGAATTTGAAAGGTGCTCTGCTCAGAAAAGTCGCCGAAGTTAGTTGATCATGTCACGAATGATGTTCGAATAACAACGACAATAACTTCATTATGGAACTTAAATACCTATACAACAATGTAAAATTACTAATCTTCCAACCACTACGCCGGTAATCATAGTCTAAAAAAATGACAGGAGTGCAGAGGTTATAATTCATAGCTACTCACTTGGGTCATGTGGAAATTTCTGTCTCTTTCCCTACCTAGGTATCTTACCTATACATTTACAATCATCCAAGTCACCAAAAGCACAGGATTAATAGAACAATATAGAATTCTCCTATCTACTATAATGAGTTCCACCGCGCAAGTAGAAGTAACTTTTCAAGAAGCACTTCTACTAGCCCCATGGGTCACTACAGACGAAAGCCTAAACTACGTCATCAATGACCCAAGAAGATGCAATGCGAGTGCAATCTCTTTGTCTTTCCCGCTGTATCGTATTCATACCACCTAAGTATCACGCATAACCATTGAAGACAGAACCCCTCCTTGATATGTGTGACCTTTTAGGCGGTGAATCCGAGTTAAAAACTCCCAAACTCACTATGCTTGCTTCCATCTGAGATTTCATGTTTTTTTCCTGAGAAGTTTTCGTCGCATGCTATTTGCAGATATATGCGCTGTGTAAAGATCACAAATTTACCTCCGGTCGATGAATCTCTCCTCTCCCTACAAATTAAAACGAAAGTACGTTGGATCGCGACTGAAATACTAATGTTGTGACGGTGAAGGACTTGTGGCAAGCTGAGTAGGCAAGATTTGTACTATATCTCACGATGTCATTGAATAAAATTTCCAACAACCAACACGCTTCTCAAGATATCCAACGTCTTAGCATCCGATATCTAGACCAATTCTTCAGACTCTGATCGGTTCAAAAGATATTCGATGAGAGACCACTCCGACTCGAAGTCGAATTGATCAGATCGCGCGCTCTGCATTTGAGCATTGAAGCCGAATTCTAGATCATATTGATTTTGGAACTCATGAAATACCGTTAATCGACCTTCTGTGTGTGGAAAGCAATCAAAGGATTCGTCTTCAGAAAGTAGATCCTTGATGAGTCTATACAAGAATTCTTTGACAACGTAGTTGTGGTCGTAGCTCAATCTAAAGCAAGATTCAAGACATCGATCGACCGCATGCAACATACGATCGTTAGGACGAAACTCAATGGTACAGATGACTGTGCTTTCCAGGTTCATACGATTGTTGTTACTTGTCAGAGCAGATTTGAATACAAAATAACTACCGGTCTTCTTGGTGGCCTCAATTGCATCTTGTTCCGGAAGAGTGGGTAAAGTGTTGTTTCGTCGAGCCCATGCTTTATGAACTTGTGGAAATGGTCCGTTATGACAGTACATTGCGAAAACTTTTTGACGGTAGGCATAGATTGACTTCTTAGATGTAGTTCCGAACGTAAAAGGAGCCGCGAGAACACCAGTGTAATAGATTTGATATGCAGTTGGGCGACTTATTGTAAATGTCTCGGAGTCATCCACACTCTCTTGGCAGACATCAGCATGAGCAAGGCTGTCTGCTAGAACACATGCGATCGAACAATATTTGATACCACTACGAGGACCACAGCCATGGCATAAAACCATAGGACTGTCTATTGTAGCGTGATGGTGGTCACTGCAATAAGTACAGTTGAAAGGTATTCGAGCTGTATCTGGCTCTGTATGTGCACGTGGACCTGAATTGATAATGGTACTATTTTCTAATTGTTGGCGACTCCAACCATTCGAAAATCCAGATAATGTTTGTTCTGCTGCATCACAACTTGCTATGCTTGCTTGCTGAGCAGGTAATTGACTTCCTAGGAGGGCAGCTTCTGTAGAATTCAAGTTTAGGCAATCCAAATCAATCAGAGATCGGCGGAAGCCCCGAGGTTGCGGCCCATGAATAGTTAGTGTAGAGCTAGTAATTGTAACAGGCTCACCGGCAGGCATCGAAGCGGTCTCCATAGATGGCGGGGTGTCTTCATTGCCAGTACAAACCTCTGAGACGAATGGTTCTGCAGCTTCAAATGCGTTATTAACAATGTTATTTATAGATGCACTATCAGAAATGGGCGAGGTAGCGATTGTAGGAGCATTGTCGATAGCATCATTGAAAGATGCATTGTTAACAGCACAAAGATCGTGGACTGATCTGAATTTACCAACAGCAGAAATCAGTGATTTCGCTAGCGGCAGCACCCGTGGATACACTCTTGAATTAGAAGATTTGATAGACCTATCCATTATAGATTTTGTGATCATAATCTCAGAAACGGACGCAGGTCTGTCGAGAAATATTGTAGGATCAGAGTCTCTCTCATTACTGTCAAGCATAGAGGCACTTGCGGTAATCATGGCGTTAGTTGAAGAACTTCGGAATCGTTTTTCGACTTTCTGGTTTGGATCATCGAAATTTCCTAGATAGATTGGTGCATCACGACTCAAAGTAAGCCCAGGGGGTGTTACACAATGAGGTGATGATTTCCCCGGCAAAATTTTAGTGAAATTTTCGACTTCGGACTCGGTACCCACTGTACTAGTAGAGCCGTCCTTCATGACACCATGGTTGATAGATATTGTTGCTTTGATTTCATCGATTAAGCTTCGAGTGGGTTCAACGTCTAGAGAAGCCCCGATTTTAGCGAATTTGGAGACATCTTCTGCCGAATCTTCAACACGGAGGTTGGCTTGTTTTGTCGAGGGTACAGGTGATGATATGACTGCTGCCGGTTGAATGGAAACCTTCATTTGATCGTGATGAATGTCAGCTTCAATACTGACCCCAATATCAAGCTTTGTACTTGTTAGAAGAGATTCTTCTGGCGAGATTGCAGACTCTCCTTTGGCTGGAATTTCTGAGTCTACCTGTGGCAAGACCTCCTGTACCATTACAATCGTAGATTTCTTGTTAGTCGCTCCAAGGGTTTGTTGTACGACATTCTTTGAAGGCGAGACCATTTCTGGAAAGTCGTTTAGACTCTCAATCTCAAACTTCTCGCCACTCTTTGAAGTAGCGGCATTAGTCTGAGTTGGTACCTTTGCGGGTACCTGCGTCTTCTTTCGGCTAACGTTGTAACTCGGTGGGACTTTGGCAGTAACAGAAGTATCTTTGTAAGCTTTGGAAGAATGTGCTGCACGAGTCTGTTGAACCTGTGCGCCCTTTGGCTTACTAGGCTTGGGTTTCACGATCTTCCAATCCGAGTCATCCTCGATTACTGGATTCGTAGCATCGTCAAAATGGTAATTCAATGGGTCAGATGCAATGGAAGGAGTTTCCTTGCTAATGATCTCAGAGGTTTGACTTCTAGCTTCCGCCACTATAGACTCAGGGTCGCTTTCCTGCTTCAAAACCTTCTTTGCGTTATTTTTACCCTTTGTCTTCTTCTTCTTCTTTTTTCTTGGCGCTGTCTCTGTCTTTGGCTCTGATATATCTTGAATTAGCAGAGGTGAAGTAGAACGAGGTGAAAATGAACTTCCTCCATTGTCAGGTGTACCAGGAGTAATGGCCTCGACGACTGTAATTTCCTCGACTGGCTCATCTAATGTAGGAACGGTACGTATATGAGTTACAGACCAGGTTTCCGATCCCATTATCGAGTCCAATCCATGGATGTTGATATTTTGAACAAAATCCTCCAAGACACTCCTAGCCGCAGCTTCTCCTGGTTCCTCCTTGTTTCTTTCCAAAGTATTGAGTTTTTGGAGGCATTCGTGATACCTTGAGGAACGTCGAACATTCGTACCCTGGACTTTGGCAACGGTGAAACTTGACTTTTCCACGCGTTTTTCCTTCTCTACACGAATGAGGGCATTTTCAATCTCGTTCATCTGGATGAGTTCGATGAGAAAAAGGTCTACGATCGGTTTGAGCTTGGCGGATTCTATGCCCTCGGCCCCTCCATACAAGTTACGGTGAAGATTCTGCCTGGATTCACCCATATCGATTGGTGTGATGTTAAATAGCTTGGACGCTGAACCCTTTTCTACGGAGGGTGTATGCGGCTCCACCAAGTGAGCATAGTACTCTGCATTTTGAACCTCTTTTCCAGAGTAAAAATCGTTTGCTAGAGCCCGAAACTCATAGGTGTTGGGTTTCATTCCACTTTCGGGAAAAATTGTTTCTAATCATTTTTAGCAGATGCAAGATTCCGCCACAAATGATTGCTTAGACTCACGATATAAGACCTCCCAAGCCACTGTATCTCTAGTTGTTTTATTGTATCCCTTGAACCAAGTGCCCACCTCTGTGCTGATCTCGTATGGAACTATGAAAGGAGCACGTACGCCCAGTCGAACAGCGCGTGAAAAGATTGCTGGATTCCAGCCCTAATCAATTGCTTAGTAAAGTATTAGAAACCATAGTTGAAGATTCATGACATACCCAATGAAAGAATTCACGGCTTTCAGACTCGATGATTTCTTCCGCCATTTTTTCCTGCGAAGTAAGCCACGAAAGGAGGCCGTCCGTTCCAGCTACTGGATGTGGTCCAAAATATTGATATCTTTGGAGGATAGGTTCGTGCTGATCGAAATGAATAAGTCTTCCTACAAGGTCTCCTACTATACCTATACTTCGAATGTTGAGTAACTGGAAGAGGCCAGGATTGTTGGCATTCAATATGTTAGCTATGGTCGTTGCTGTTGTGCTGTTGTCAATCGCCGGAAACTCCTGCCGATCTTGACTGAGAAGATAAGTTAGTATTTGTTGGCAAGAGCGAGAGCTCTCCAGCTTGAGATAGACTGAGTTTCAAGAGAGAGAGAGAGAGAGAGAGAAAGACAGAAGGAAGAGAATATGATGTTTACTGACTCTTCTACTTGCTTGAAGACCTCTTCAACGGAGCCAGAATGAACAGTTGTGGTTTTTGATGATATGCTTCCGTGTTTTATGAGATTAGAATGTGTCGAATTACTCAAAATCTCGAGGTTTTTGGCGGTCAGAGGACTTGAAGTTTGATCATTAAGATCTGAAGTGTTGGAATTGATCAATTCGGTGTGCGGTACAGTTAAATTGTCCCACAAATTATCCGTTTTAGAGGACTGAAGATCAGCCTCTTCTGCTGTTGATGAATTGTTGTACTATTTAATTGGTTAGAAAGAGAAGAGAAGATTTTTAGGGAAATTAAAGCTCTGGTTTGAGGTAGTATGGTAACAATCTCTGTGGGGATGCCGACTAAGCATGAACAGTCTCTTGAGATCACTCTCACCCATTGACCGGCCGACCAGCATGGCAACAAAGTGTGAGAAAGAAAAACAACTTTCTTACCATCTTATCAATATCTATTAGTGATTCAGTCTTGGATACTGGGCGCTTTAGTCTCGGAAATCTCATGATTGTGCATAGAGTTTGAACATTTATGTGAGGATGGGAAAAAAGTTGTTAGAAGGTGGAAGAGCAAAATTATCAATAACTTCGCTTCGAGTTTATCTAATAGATCAGCGGTGTTGGAACAATAGTCACCAATCCCAAAGAGGTATCGCGTGCTTCATATACTGCTACTGCTACTGCTATACAGTATTAAAGAACAGAGCTCCAACAACCAACAAGACTCATGCTTTTTAATGGTCAACTTTTTATTGCATTGGCTCATGACCATATGAATACTCTACTTGAAAGCTATTCACTAAACAAACGAAGAACAGATGTTAATCAGCAGACAAGGATGGAATTCACTGGTAATTGCCTTTGCCTTTGCCTTGCTTTGTTACCATCGTACTTGAACGCAATGCTATCATCATGTTGACAATCGATCTCCTCACACAGTATACAAAGTCCTCTTACCAATAACTTTGCCAGTTTGTAGCCCCATTTGGAACAAAAGAATGTGCAGCAGATAGACATATAACAAATTCATGCTTTCCCATTGTCAAATCAGACGGAACTTACAATCAAAACTATCAACCATCGCTTTCAATTCCCTCTATGGTCCTTTTTGTCCAATACCTCTGAAAGATCTTCCATCATCACATCTCTACTACGTGGATTTGAGACCCGAGAACCATTGTACGTTGTACATTTTAGGGATATATGTCTTTGGAAGTACTAAACCTTTGTAGCTTGAAGATGCATGGAATCATATATGTTGCAAGTACTATTTCAAATTCTTGACCCCAGTAGAACAAGTGAAAGCAAACTCTCATTCACAGTAGGTGAGCAAGAAAATAGTGAAAATAATGAGTTGAGAGTTGGCCATGATCGCTTTGACCTCAAATAGCTTCATTATGTGAAGATCATGAACTTTATTATCATCTTTATTATCATCTCTCTCTCCCTTTCTCTTTCTCTTTCTCTTTTCTCTTTCTCTTTCTCTTTCTCTTTCTCTTTCCCCCTTCCTCTTCCGCTAAATTCTTAATACAGGCATATAACTTCCCAACTATCAAGCTTACCTCCAGATATCCATACTTGACCATACTTGCCTGTGGAAAGTATGAGAAGCTCTGTGCATTGTGCTACATTATGGCAACTGCCAATAAATAGAACTCATAGCGGATCTCTAGATGAGAAGAATCAAAGGGGAATCATAAGACTTGTACATGGGGTGACAAAACGCTTCTTCTTTGCTAATTAATGGCTTCTGATGCTTATTATCCTCGAAGACTCACAAACCATAACCTTTACAACAATCAATAATGAAGCAAACAGATACCACAACTTTTACTCACCTAGAAAGTAATGACACTTTATTAGTGATACATTGTATACATGATTCATAGACAAAGGGGAATAGTCACCACTTTGATGGTCTGTATGATTGTTCCTTTAGTAGGGCTTTTCTTCTATATCAGATCATTCCACCTTTTCCACCTTTTCCACCTTTCCCTCCTGTCTCCCTCCTCATATTCTCCTATCCGAAAGGATCCTGTCCTAATGTTTGCATGCTGGGACTAAAGGAATCTTTCATTGGCTGTTACTAGTTATGTAAAACCAGAAAGCAAACATCACCACCGTAGATTGTATGGCCAAGATATGATAAAATTTGAATCAACTGAAGTGAAGTGGGAAAGGAAAGTGAAGTGACGTTGAACCTTCCTAAATGATCCCGCTTATATAACCAGTCATGTGATTCAAATAGAATCTCAACAACTAGCTTGAGACTAATCTCGGACTAGGCTGAACGCAGATCCTCGATTTTTTTTACCATTAGTATGAGCAAGCGCATTCCATTATTCTGAACTTGCATGACTTTATTTGTTCCTTCAAACTCCCCAAAGGATCAACAATCTAACCATCAATTATCATAACATTTGTCAAAGACACACGCTACCATTTCCTTTGATCTGCTTGTTGTGCATCTCATTAACTCAGAGAATCCCTTTTCACGACACAACCTGATCTTCAAAAAGATCTCTACATTTCCCTCCTCATTTCTGAGCCTAGGAAATTAAAGAAACAATGGCCGATCAACCTAGCATCACATCTATCCTGGCTGCTTTGGGTAAATTTTCTCTTCCAGATATTAAATGGGAGATTCGAAACTAACTTTTTTTCAGCAGCGCAGCGTCCCAATGCGACCCCTCCGCAGAATCAGCAGCCTGCATACCAGCCTCCTCAACAGCCAAATCCCTATGCACAAACCGGCGGCTACTCCCTACCTCAACCTACAAACTCGGGCAGTGTCGATCTCAGCGGTATCAAGCCTGTAAGCTCCGGAACTGTTAGTATTCAAGATGCCATCGCGAAGGCGAAGGTGATTGCTGCTGAAAAGGGCGTTGCCTACGACAGAGCTCCATCTTATGTTGGACAACCCCCCATGCCTTCTGGAAGACCATACAGCCCAAGATCTAGATCCAGGTCACCTCAACCAACACGTCGCGATGCCTTTCGCGATAATTTCAACCCATATCGCGATGAACGCCGAGGCCCACCAGGAAGAGATTATCGCGAACGTTCATTCTCTCCCGGAGTACGAGGCAGAGGCCCATCCGATGCTTTCCCACCGCCACATGGAGGTGCAGGCGGATATGCTCGTGAACGTTCCCCAATACGCGGCGCAGAAGACAACGTTGAATCGATCTCAATCGAGTCGAATCTTGTGGGGTTGATCATTGGTAGACAGGGCGAGAATTTGAGAAGAGTAGAATCAGAAACTGGTTGCAGAGTACAATTCATTACTGGCCCTGATGAAACTGGTCCTTTCAGAACCTGCAAAATCACTGGTCCTCGTGCTCGCAGAGCAGATGCCAAGGCTGAAATTACTCGCATTATTGACGACAGTGGTTTGGGCCCACTCTCAGATCGAGCTCCAAGAGAACAGAATGCCACCCGAGATTCATCTCATCAACCTGCATTGAGAGACGGCGAGGATAGCATGCAAATCATGGTTCCAGATAGAACAGTTGGTCTTATTATCGGCCGCGGTGGAGAGACTATCAGAGATCTTCAAGAGCGAAGCGGCTGCCATGTCAACATTGTTGGAGAGCAGAAGAGCGTCAACGGACTTCGACCAGTCAATCTCATCGGTACTCGAGAGGCCGCTGCCATGGCTAAAGATTTGATTATGGAGATTGTCGAGAGTGATAGTAAGAGCGCACCAAAGGAGCGTGCACCCGCCCCAAGAGAGAACAACCGTGATGCTGGCTATGGTGGTGGTTATGCTAGTGGTGGTGCTAGCGGTGGTGGTCAAGGAGATAAGATCAATGATTCAATCTTCGTACCTTCCGAGGCTGTAGGCATGATTATCGGCAAAGGCGGTGAAACGATCAAAGACATGCAGAACACGACTGGTTGCAAGATCAATGTAACCCAGTCTTCGGGCCCAGGTGAGGTTGAACGTGAAATTGGGCTTGTAGGTTCCCAGCAAGCTATAGCAGCTGCCAAGCGAGCCATTGAAGATAAGGTTGATGCTGTGGTAAGTGGAATCATTGTTTCTCGTCTTCGTAACACTTTCTAACTTCTAGAAGCAACAGAAAAACAATGGTGGTGGTGGCGGCGGTCATCGTAATAACCGTGGACAACAAAATCAACAAAATGAATATGGAGACCGCGGCTATTCCCAGCAATCATATGCCCAGCCGCAAGGACAACCAGGACAACAAGCTCCCCCAAGTGGCGCCGACGACCCATATGCAGCTTGTAAGTTTCAATCCTGGTGATTATCGAACTTTACTGACAAAAATCAGATGGTGGATACGCCAACTATGCACAGCTTTGGTATCAGGCATTGGCCGCGCAAGGTCAAGGTGACACGACCAAGCCGCCAGGAACTTCGTAACTTTACGACAGTGATTACCAGCCGTAGGATGATTCGACATTTGACTTGCATGATTCGTATGACTTGCATGACATACGCTGAGACCATGACGTTCGATTCATTTTCATCGATATAGTATGCCTGCATTGCACATGATGACGATGACCGAGAACCTTCGTACTCTTTCATTACTGGCCTGATATTGGTATACTTTCTTCACTGAGTTGATCACGCAGCCCAGGATACTCTAACTTATGGATACACGATATAGTATGCACTACCTACTACGTTTACGATTTTTGATCATGCTCTATCAAACAAAATTCCGGAGAAGAAAAACCCCAAAAAAAATGATACCGACAAACGAGACCTTATCTATTTGTAGATGATGACCAAACGCGTGCCATCTACTTTGCGCTGTGCAATGCAATTGATCTGACAATCTGCTTCTGCTTGACAACCATGATTTGGGCTTCTGGCACTGGGTATGATCTGCTTGCAATCTTGATATTCATGCATGAACGTCTTTTTCAATGGCTCCTATTTACAATGGTCCTTGAATGCTCTGGTCAGCACCATCACTCTTGTCGATGCAAATATCGACTTTGAACTTTTTGATTCAGATGTGAGGCTCACGCGAGCAGTTCGTTTGGCTGGTGAGCATAGTCTGAGTTGGTCTGGAAAATTTTCGATTTAATGCCGCATGCATGACTTGATCGCAACAGATGATACTGATAACTTGCTTGCTTTGCTGAGTAACTTTGAACTTTTGGCTTTTGCTATTGCTTGCTCGCTTCGTGGATGACTGCGCGACCAATGCTTAATCGGATTATTCCTTTACTTTCTTACTTGCGCTTGATGGATACCACTTATCGGATAGGTATTATTTGGATTGGTGCGTGGGATGGATGGTGGGTAATACATACAAAAGTCTTTAATGGACAGGAGAGGTGGGTGGGATTTATCGATTGGTAACGTTTGTAAGATAGCTACAATAAAAAATTGTTTATTATGTTTGGAGAGTTTATGTAGATGAAATGCTGGGTTGGGTTCTACGTACGGGCCGGAAATATTTGTCGAAAATTTACAAATGTTGATGGGACTTTGTCTTTATGATGGGAGACGTCCAATCGTTCGAGATTCAAAATTGGACCATTGCAAGATCTGTTAGCGCTGTTCTAACTATTGGATCACTCCAAGCACCTGCTTTCCATCAATCTTTGGGTTAAGGTATTTTAGTTCTGAGGATTCAATCCCAGTTGTCTCACATAATACTGACTGATAATATATATGTATATGAACATAAATAGCATTAACTTATTTTATTTCCTAATCTTCTATATACATGAACATTACATCATAACCAACCGAAATCGTAAAGATGTCCCGATTCCAAAATCATTAAAACATAACTCATCAAAAAAGCTCTCCTTCCTTCACTATTCCTCTCAAAGTTCCACGTGCATCCCCACCAGATTGACTACTCAAATCCCTTCCAATTTCCTGATTTAGAAAGTAAAACTTCCCTCCACTCTCAAATCTCTACTCGAGAATCCGACCTTGACACCGAATTCTCCCTCTGGAATTCTCCACTCCTGTAATTCCACATCCCAGAAACTGATGTCTCTGCGCATCAACTCGAACGAGACGATTTTATTTTCACCCGCGTTCAAGCCGATTTTTTCGAATCCGCGCAATTGTTTGACGGGGGTTTCACTGCCCTCGATTTCGGGGATGCTGATGTAGAGTTGGGGGACGGCGGCGCCGGAGAAGTTTCCTGTGTTGGAGACACTGGCGCTGACGGTGTAGACGGGAGTCCAGAGATCGGGGTTTCCGCCGGGGATGGAGGAATTGGCAGCCATGGGGGCGGGAGTAGAAGAGAGGGTTTCGTTGGAGATGGGGGTGATGCTCAGAGAGGAGAGATCAAAGGTGGTGTAGCTGAGACCGAATCCGAACTCGTAGAGGACGGAAATGTTATGGTAATCAAAGTATCGGTAATCGATCAGGAGACGCTCGGTGAAATCTGATTGCCATGCACCTGGTGCGGTGGAGTTTACACTGGTGGTGATAGGTGCGAAATCGTAATCAGAAGCATTGTAGGCGATGGTGTAAGGAAGATGTCCAGAGGGATTATAGGCACCATAAAGGACATCGACCAAACTATTTCCCATTTGGTCACCAGAAAGATGGGTAGCGAGGATAGCGGTAATGTTAGGGTGGTCAGCCCATGGCATGAGGTTCAAACCTGTAGCTTGGGAAATAACAATGGTGTTACTGCAATTTGTGGCGACTTGCTCAACGACGGCATCACCATTCCAGTCAAATGACAAGGAGGTTCTGTCATCACTTTCAGATGCGTAAGTCTTGATGAATACCAAGCATACATCTGGGATTGGGTAGATCACGCCCGAGAAGCCTCCGTCAGTGGCCAATTGAGTGTTGTTCAAGATAGTTTGAACCAATGAGCCGTCCTTAAGAGCACGAGCCTTGATGGCATCAAGAGGAGTGACAAGTTGAGAAAATCGTCCAGATCCAGACCCACCACCAATGGGCAAACATCCATACTCATAATCTTTGTCATGAGGATAAGGACCGTTTGCCAAATCGCCTGCAGCATTTCCGAAAACTCCAATGCGCTTAGGAGCTTTGAGAGGGAGGGCGTTGTTGGTGTTCTTGAGAAGAACGGTTCCAGCAGCACCGAGTTCGCGAACCAACCAGCTGTGGTTTCCACGAACATCAACATCAGAGGCACCCATTGAAGAGGTCCAGTTTGATGCATAGATAGATGGCTCGTTGAATTGATTCATCTGTGGGTAAGCACCAGATGAAGGGTCGATAAGAGGGAAATCTTGATCTTGTCCGAGGAAGAAGTATGGAGTCATGACTCGAAGAGCCATATCGTTGAGACGCTCAAGGGAGACGGATCCGTTGTTTACAGCAGTGGTAAGGTTGGAACCAAAGTATGTTGGGATTCCAGGGCCCATTGGGTCCCACCATTCAGCTCCAGGCATGGTCATATCCAAACCAGCATTGGCAGAAGCAACACCAGCATGTGTTCCCATCCAATCAGATACAACAAATCCTTGGAAACCAAGCTCAGTCTTGAGTAGGCCGTTCAAAAGTTTGGAGTTTTGACAGGCGTAGGATGAGTTGACCCTGTTGTAAGAGCACATGACATTTGCAACTCCAGCGCGAATGGCATTGTAGAATGGCCACATGTACAACTCGTGGATAGTTCTATCTTCGACGTTTGCAGAGACAGAGAGTTGTTGGGTGTCATTTGGGAACCAGTTTGCATCGAAGATACCTGCAGTATTTCGCTGCGTCTCTTGCTCATATGCAAGGAAATGTTTAGCGCTTGCTTGAACACCTTGTGATTGGACACCGACAATTGTCTCTTCCATTGCAACACCAGTGAGGTATGGATCTGGAGAGAATCCTTCCCAGTTTCTTCCTGCCATGGCACTTCTGCCAAGAGGACCAGCTACAGGTCCCAAAAAGATATGAGAACCTTTACCGCGAAATTCAGCACCAAGGTATTCTCCTCTAGTGTTCATGAGACTTCTATCCCAAGATGCAGCGGTAGTAAGACCAGCAGGGAAGACGGTAACATAATCAGCCTGTCTCAAGGAGGCTGGTCCATCTTGGAGACAGAGTCCCTTGAATCCAACTCGTGGGATTGGTGCAATGTTACTTATGACAAAATTAGCAAAGAATAATTTGACACGAAGATGCTCTCATCACTTACCCAACACAAGGTCCATTGGCACCAGTCAATAGTGATGCCTTCTCCTCTAATGTGAGATTACCGATGAAAGCATTGGCCTTTACGAGAGCAGCCTCCCATCCTGTGCCTTGCAATTCAGCTGGAAGAGATGTTAGTATTGTCTAAGTCCGAGTAGTTCAAGCGATCTTGAGTGCTATAGACCGGAGGGTAATCACGTTCCTAGAACGAGATGCCACAGTGTAAATATGAAAGGGGGGAGAAAGTAACGTACGAGAAGGATAGACTGGTGGAGAAGTTTCGAACAGAGAAGAATCCCAAGCCTGGCCATTGACAGTAGCAATGCAGCCAGCGAGGACCGAGATGATATCGAGTAAAGGAGCCATTGTAACTTGTCTTCTGGAACTGCTTTCTTCACATCTCCGGATGATATCTCCTACTTATATAAAATTCGTCATGGTAAATCTTCGGGAACTCATTCCTACCCATAAACAAAATCAATACGAAGCATACAGAAGAAATTAGCTGGGGAAAACAATGACCCGGCATAAACGTCATCTATCACTCCCCAATAGTACTTTCCCACGAAAACGGTTCAAGATGATCGGTCTTTGGAGAACTTTTAGAACTCCACATGTGGACAAGACGAGTTCCCCATGGCGAAAAATGGCCGAATTAGTACCGTAAGGCAATCCTACCGGACTCAATTTCATGATTTCATCCCACTTTCGCCAACATCTGGAGTATCATCGGGGAAACGAAAACATTTGTGTGGGGAATTTGGGGAACTCGTGATGGTCGGGAAATTTAAGTCGTGGGGAATTGGGGATTTTCCATGTAAAAAAACACACAGAGTAAATTATGGTTTTTCCAAGCTCCCAACACGAGGGTTACAAGCGCAAAAGAGGAAACGCAAAACGATGGTACGAAATCATCTGGAGGTCTCGATATCCAAGCCACAAGCATTGCCCTGAAGGCTTGAATATTGTAAGAAATATGTCGAATATATTCAAAGATGCTCAAAACATCTATTGATAACTTGCGTATTATCCTTGCCTCCCCCCCATTTGTTCAATTGAAATAACAAAAAATCATGCTTCCAAAATTGACAAGGAATCAACTCTTGCAATAACCTCCGAACTCAGGTCATCGCCGCCTAGCAATTGACACCCACATAAATGGGATGAACACATAATAGAAATACAACTTGCAAGTAGGTCCCCAGCTTCTTCTCCAGTCCGGGCGGAGTCACTTGATTCCTCTCTTCCGCTACTCTGAATCTATGGTCGTGTGTGCC